AACAACATGTATATGAAAGCAGGCTTTCGCATCCTCACCATAAAAATTGTTACCATTCCACGGATTTTCGTGGTTTAGAATAAATTTAGGCACACATTACAGGCCTTGTTATGAAGGATTGACGAAATAGCTCAATCAACTTAAATGGGAAAGGCTGTAAATTCATCAAAATGTAAGTTGAAAAATTGATCGCTGGACTAGACTCTTGTGCGATTGAAGGTTTATTCTTAGTAGATGATAAATGTATCACTCGAAGACACAAATCAATGAGAGTTGATTGCTGCCAATATGTATCGTCAGATCTAAAACGTTTTTATTGGCAACTACAAAACAATACAATAAAAAACAAGAAACGGTTACTTGCAGAATCTTTTGCTACGAATTTTTATTTGCAATTCCTCCCTTCCCCCCTCCCCCCCCCCCCCTTAGACAATAGTTTCTAGCAGTTTTAGAATCTACCTGTATAAGAATAAAAAATTATCTTTATGTAGATAGAAGGAGTTTGTTTTCACTATTGAACTCTACGGTAAAATTTTATGTAGTGGCCCCCCAATAGCTTTTACGTGAAGCTGGATTGTATTTTTTTTACCTTGAAAACGTGAATCGGCAAATTTTATAGCGTGATTAAGTTAATAAAGGTTCGCGCGTGAACGTGAGTAGTCACTTTTTATGCACGGGAATTCGTGAATCGATAATTTCAATGCCGTTTCAATTCGATAATTGTTCCGGGTTATGACGCCTACATATCACGCAGAACTTAAATCGTATTGCAAGGTGTCTCCTTGTGTGCGTTCTTTTTACCTCTACCAAGAGTCGCACTGATGAATAAATATGTAAGTTCGAAAACATTGTGAAAACGAACAGAAGATATCATATTTCTTAACTATTACACAAACGCAAGCACCTACAACTAGAAGAATCACCCAATTCGATCACTTTAAAAATTTTCAAAGCACAGAAAGAAACAAAGAAACGGATTTGAGACTGAAACTCTGACAACTTGATTTCATAAATCCTCAAGCAATGATCTCACGGGGAAACTAAAGAGTTATGTACCGAGACTGCAATATTGTTTGGCTTGGTGTGTTTTTCTACTATATGTTCATGAAATTCTAAAACAGATAATGAAGCTACACATGAAAGTTTACAAAACTGATAGTTTCAAACTAGATTCTCAACTAAAAGCTGACCTAAAAACCTTACTGATAAAAAGCTGCGAAAACTTTACTGATGAAAATTTTTGTTGTTGCACTTGCATGCTGCGTTTCCGAGACCCTGCATTCATTCGTCCAGGGGTGGGGACAGGACCTTAAAACTAGAATTCTGAGGATAAAGCGTGTTCCATTCAAGGGTGATTTTTGAAATGTCAGTAAGAATAGTAACTGACTGAAAATGCCTGTTTTTTTTGAAAAAATTGTTTGCAGAGCACGAGCTCATGTAAATAGGTACTATTAAGTGCTCCCATATATTGTACCTTTGGCTAACTGGCTTTCCTGAGACAGACAGAAGTCAAAAAAGGCTTATTGTCTAACAGATAGTTACAACCCTCTATTACCTTATCGCTAAATTTCTTTGATAGAGCGTTCTAGGAAGAGCCGAAGAGTGGGCAATTAAATATACTTGTCTGCAACCACGGTCGTTATGTTTCTTGCTAAACAAGACTTTTCCAGTAATTATCTTTGATGACTGAAATTGATCAATGTATCAAACTAGTGAAAGTAATATACGCAACCACAAGGAAGCGTGGTTTCCTAATTTGCATCCTTTTTGCTCCCATAAATCACTGCAAATGAAAGTCATGTACATTGGCAATTGTATCCATTCTGTCTCATAAATCATAAATGAAACTTATGAACCTGGGAAATATATAAAAGAGAGCTTCGACTACAGAGTTACTTACAACAACTGGTGGTAGCATAAGATTGGCAGCAGTCTGACGAAGAAAGTCTATCAGGTAAGCATTTTTTCGAATTGCACACAGCCACAGAATATTCTGTGACGCAGTGCTTTTGTAAAACTTGTTTTCTAAAAGAGATGGCTAGGACAAATTATTCATCGCTTGGGAATTTGGCAAAATTTTCTTCGAACTACTACGCGTTCTGTTAGTTTAGAACTTTGTTAATCAAAATTTTCTCGTAAAACTTAACTTGCACTTTTTATCTAGAGATTTGACAGTAAAACAGAAACTGGCTCAAGAATCGTTGACGCTGAAGCCAGAATCGATCATCAAAATATGTGCCTTGACGAACTGAATTCTTGATACTAGTCTCCAAAGGAAGCATACGTACACTAACAAAAGGAAATATACCATTATAGATTGAGATTTCAGAAAGCGCAGCTTAATAATGAAATTAATAACATATATATATATATATACTATTATATATTGGCTTGTGTAATTACTTATCTATAAAAACACAATAAAAAAAATTGAGTATCTTCAATTGCAGCAGGATCTATAAGTGGTCTAAAACCTCGACTGATCCCGATTATTTCTTTCTTCTCCATAGTTTTGAAGATGAGGGCATTCTACTTCCTTGCCGTTCTTGGAATGGCATTCTGTCTCGTACATGGTGAGTTGACACAATTCTTTTGGAAGGCAGTATTCCTGGCAGTATTCCTACTTGTAATTACTTGTCTTTCTCCGAAAAGTTGTTTAATGTACGAAAAGCATCATTCCATTCAATGGCGTTGGCTTTTAACACTAATGAGCACAGAGTTTAAAGAACCTTGGGCTAATTACACTAAGTCTCCCAAATGATCGCTACCTGGCCTAATTTGCAAATTCTCCGATTAGCAACTGTAGAATCGTTCTGTTATATGGTTCTATACACCAAAAGTGTTAACAGCTCTGCCTATTAGGCATTGCGCACTTACTGGCAGACCGGCAATAGATAATTTTCATTATTCTTCAATTACTACGCGTATAATAAGATTGTAATGTGGTTTCTCTCTAACCAAGGTGAAGATACCGAAGCAACAGAGTCTGAGGTTGCCACGGCAGACCAAAAGCAAGACCAATCGAACGAAGATGCCCCTGCTGCAAAGGAGGAACAGCCATCTGACTTCAGCGAAGAATCTTCTGAAGATCAAAACGAGGACGATGAAGACGAGCCCGAGGCAGATCTAGAGGCGGAGGATGAAGAAAATGAAGTTGCAGATTTGCCCGAAGAAGAGGACCCAAGCGAAATAGAAGGTTAGTTCTCAGTTTTTGTTTGCTAGTAAATCGTATTTCGTGATTAAAAAGCTAATCCAGTCGTTCAAATGACTTTGCTATCACGGATTAAGAGAAAAAGTAAGTCACTCTCGAAATAAAACAAGAAAAACTCACTTTCTTGCACCTGCAGTGATTATTTTACAAAAATTTATCAAAAAACAACTACATTTGCAGATCCGATTTTCGTCGCCTTTTTTGGCTGTCGACTACACAGCAGATGTTTTCAATATTACAGGTCAATACTGACTCGCTCAAATGTCTTCCTCTTTAAACATATTTCATGTTACAACACACATTTGAAGTTATATCACTTATTCTGATAATCTATTTCAGAGCCAGCAGAGGATACCAACGATCCAGCCTATTATGGTGGTAAGAGGTGCCGATGCAAATCATGCAGGTGCCACCGTTACAAGCTCTATTACAAAAAATACTACAGCAAATACTACAAGCTCTACTACAGGAGACACTACCAAGCCTACTACAAGAAGTACTATAGCCGATACTACAAGCTGTATTACAAGCGATACTACAGCAGGTATTACAAGAACTACTACAGCAGGTACTACAAGAAGTACTACAGCCTGTATTACAGAAGATATTACAGCAACTATTATAAAAAATACTGGAGCAATTATTACAAGAAATACTACGCAAAGCGCTGCCACCGTTACTACCCAAAAAAGCTCTGGGGAAAATAAGACGCTTCTACAAGCTGGACTTGTATCGTTTGACATTGTTAGTAGTTGATTTAGAGAATGAATCTTGAAAGAAACGATTATTAAAGATCACATGCTCGCCTTTCCTCTCGTATTTGTGATATGCTACAGTAAAAAACTTACTCGTGTTTGTGGTTGGTAAAAGTTTACGAAGTGAAGCATAAACTCCTATCTTCATTTGCTCTAGATTTCTCTCGTTTATACTTAAAAATCAAAATTTGTAAAATTGCATCGTATCAAAAATCTTTCTAGCCTTATTTTACTGAAAAAACCAAATTTTTGTAACTTCGGAGCAGCGGTGTGCAGCAGCACTTGTGACACAAGAAATAAGTTTTGTCGATTGGTTCTAAACCAAGAAAGGGCCACGTGTCTGAAAAAATGACAATAATGCACTTTAACTTGATCAGTTGACAAGTAAAAAATAAAAAAAAATTTTATAAATGGTTTTGTAATGAAGAAACATGCATATGATAATTTAGGCGAAGAGTTGCAAATAAATTTTAGGAAATGTGAGCTCTATAGCACACTGCTCCTTCAATCCTTTAGAAAGAATCTTTATACAAACATGGGTAGAGTATTCATCTGTTGGGTATCAATTAAAAATAATGCCCTGAGATTCTAAAGGAGCTCTGTTAAAACAGCATTTTTAACCCACTTCCTCTTGGGAATTTTTGTTTATTCTTTGTGAATTTCCAGGCCTAAATAAAAACATCCAATTACTCCTCACTTTCTAAATGTGTTTTCAACAACCTTTAAATGCTTAGTTGAGAATTTCACCTTGGCACAAACTTGCTAGCTTGTTGTCAAAGTTTCCCTATAACAATTATTTTCTTGAAATTTTGATGGTGTTCCAAACAAAGTGTTTTCACGTGATCTAGGGAATAATGTGGCCATCAAACTTTTCTTTAGGTCACTGCCCCGATACTTCACTGTTTTTGTTTACATTGGCCTATGTTCTTAATGTGACATCGAGATAAGCACATCTTAGGCGGAGCTTGCAGGATTCACTGCTGGAATGTTATGAAGAACAAAGCGATAAGGCATTCATAAATTTTCTACAGAAATCACATGTACTTCACCTAAACTTGCTTGAAGAATACATCAAATATGCAAAATAATTTACAAAACTAACAGGAAATTGTTCAAAACTCTTAAACTGAGCTGGGGGCAAGCCCATCTGGACATTTAAATTTGTATAGTATTCCCTTATTAAAGGCCCAGATCTTCTTAACATCCACACTAATTTATCTTTAAGATAATATGCTTCTGATAAATACCATCAATTGAATGCAATTATTCTCAAAATATTTCTTGATATTTCTTTCCAATGTCTATCCACCTGAAGGCACCTCTTTTAGAAAGCAATAGTTTTGAATCACAGGGAACTAAAAAGAGGATTTACCATAGCATGACTGGTTAGTTTGCCAGTATAGCACCATTTGCAAAATATCATTCAAGGGAATCTTCTTTTAGCCTTTTAGTAGCTGGTTCTAGATTTTGGAGATGGTTATTTTCATCCTCGGCATCTGCTTCAACACTCTCATCTCTGTCATCATCATCATCATCATCATCCTCATCATCATCCTTGCTTTGAGGAGTACCACCATCTAGCAATGAAAAAGAGGGTATATTGTTATCTTGAGTCAACTAGGACTTGCTTGCTTGAAAAATGGTGAATTTCACCAGGCCATTTCCGGAGACGAAGGCTATAGCCCACACTCGCGCAAACCTCAAGCAAAAAATTTTGAAGGGCCTTTTTCCGTCAGGCAGTTGTTTTAAACAACGCTCTCATTGAATCATTTTCGTTTCACTCCCCAATGTTTTAACTACTTACCACTATATACCAGAGTATTTATGAATAACATTGTGTCAAATAACGAGATGTATGGTTTTTATAAATATCGTTTTGAAAAGGAAATTCCGTTTCATTTGACATCAAATGTTAACAAACTATTATAGTATTACCTGTCAAAACTAGCAATAGAATAGGAAATGAGTGTGCAGTAAAGGAACAACAGATTTTTTGCTCTTCCGTGCTGTTTTTAGACCAACAAACTCTTAAGAAAAAATGAGTATTGGAATTTGCTATACTGTTAAGGAACTGGAGTATGCAAAGTCAACCTTCAATTCTTATAGAAAAGAAGTGTATTTCAATTATTCTTTCTTGAATTTTTAATGCCAATCAACTTAATCTTCCATTACACTGTATTGCTCATTGTACTGCACTTATCTTTTTGGATAAAGATGAGTTTTGATGGATACTACTCAATAAATTTGCGTTTCTACAAAAACGTTGCCATTTTGCAAACAAAACTAGAGATCTCTTTTGTAATTTTTTAGAGTAAAAATACACACAAAACTTCTTCTTAACATGAATTATTTTTTAAAAGTAGACAAGATAATTTATTTTTTGGTTTGAATATACTCAAATATAAATAGATAAACAACAAATTCTGCCAGGGCTAAATACCCCACGCAGCCAAACCAGCAGGTGTCTTTTTTAGCCTGCGTGTTTTTCATTCCCGGAGAGGCCTGGTGAAATTTCAACAAAGCATCAATAGCTCTACTTAGCCCAACTCTTGATTAAGCCCTACTCTCATTTGACCCCCTCTCAATTAAGCCCCACTTCGATAAAAAATGACAGCTTAGCATCTGCAGCTGTTGCTGTTCCTCTTTTGATTTTGATTGGCCTAACTTGACCCACAATTGGGTACAGATATTGCCAAGTGCAGAATTTTTGATAAATATTCTAAGGTTTTATATAAGAGCTATGAGATAGCACTTAAGAGTGGAGACCAAAGGGGGTATGGGGGGGTGCTGTACCTCCCAACATTTTGTCTGTTGGCACACCAGATTGGAATTTTTGAAAGATGTGCAGGGGATCTGTTTCATGTCCATAAAAATTTCACATTTGCAAGTAGCACAGATAAAATTTTGTGTGGCTGAGACAAATTACCATAAAAATACAGTATCTAACGTTTGGTTATACATTTCAGAGAAAAACAGCTGGATGAATCATTACAATAGAAATTGCACGGCTGCAATTGTGGCCAATATTTGGATGTGCATGGGGGATTATCACCTGTGCAAGGCAAAAATTCCAATCTGGTTGGCACATAAAGGATTTTACCTGAAGATTTCAGATTTTTTGTTGAGAAAAGCACGGAGATTTGGCCAAAAACAGGGAGATCCCTGGACTTTGCTGAATTTATAAACAACATATCTGTCAAGTGATGTCGTTCAAATAGTTAATGACAACAATTAACGATTTTTAACGTTTTCTTTAATTTCTAAACACTAACAAAAAACTTTGTATGTCACGAGCGGTGGCGTACCCAATGGGGGGAATGGGGGGTCCGGACCCCCCACTTTTCTAAAATATGGTCCTTGAGATTTGTTCAAAAACGATGTAAAACTCATTGGGGGGGGGTAGTATACTGTATGCTTGCGTCAATAACAATTGTAAAATGCTTTGCTATTTACCGTAGCTAACATGAATAAAAAAATGGGGGGAAATTTTGCAAAAAGGGCTTTTCCCCGCAGTTGCGAGTGTTTGAAGGGCGTGGTCCCAAAAAATTTTTGGGGGCGACGCCCCAGACCCCCCCCACTGCTGCAACCCTGGGTACGCCACTGGTCACGAGGAGAGTTATTTCAATCATTTTTGTTATAAGGAAACCTCTGATGAAAGACAAGGGAAAACAGGGAGAAAATCATGAAAAATCGGGAGACCAGGAGAAAGCAAGCAAAACCAGGAATCTCCTGGCAAAACCGAGAGAGTTGACAGGGTGAAAGGTACCTGAAACGTTTTCGTTGTTAGCTGCAATCTTTTCTGCTTCAACGAACCGGTTCAAAACATGGTCTGTACTTTGACGCATTTCTTTTAAAGCTGACACAATTTTGGTTATCGAGGTATTTTTACTGGCATCTGAGACATCATAACTACGGCTAACAGTCTCTGTGCCAATTTGAAAGACCATAGTAGCCGCCATTTTCACAAGAAAATGGATGCAATCCATTGTGAGGCTTGGCCTCGATCACCACAGTGCTCAAAATTTTCCTGATGTTTAACCAGTGTGTTTCATGCGAAATTACTGCAAAATAGATCATTTTTTGATCGGTAGAGAGGTATCGTCTTGAACATTATCGGTGAAAAAACCTTTGCGAAAATATATCAGAAAATGGACAGAATTGTCATATTTGAAATTGAAAGCAAGCAATCATTTCCTTTCATCATCACTTGTCTTGACATTTGCTGATGCAACAAGGCGCTGTGGAGGAATATTTTCGCCATCGAGTTTCCCGCCAAAATACAAATTAACAAATCTTCATCAAAATGTTAGGAAGATTTGAAGAATTAAAGAGTACATCTACTAATAAACTTAGTTTGGGAAAAGCACGTAACAATAATGCTGAAGATAGCAGTAACGATAAGTCAAAACAGCGAAGGAGGAGTCTTTTCACGAAATACGCGTCGAAAGAAAAGGAACACGATGGCAAGGCAATGAGGCCTTCAGCTCTTGCGAGATATGATGAGCAAATTATTGATTTTTCTTCATCGTCTGATGAAGAGCAAACGCGTAATGAAAGCAAGCTTCCTCTGAAGAGATCAAATTTTACAGAAGCAAAGAACCCCAAATTAGAACGCATAAATAAAAGTCAGGCAAAGGGAAAAAGAAGACGTGAAAGTGCTCCAGCCAACCTTCCACGAGTAGACGAGGGGAAACTCTCGATTGATTGGTCAGATAGCAACGATGAATGGGAACCTCCGTCATCAAAAGTAAAATTACAGCAACTTGATGCTGAATTAGATTCAGAAGATATAGACAATTTTGATTCACCCAAGAAGCCAATTAATTTGGGAAGATCATTTTCCACAATGACAGAGATTGACGACTCAACACAGAGCCAGATTTCAGCACCAAATGAAAATTATGATACTAAAGAGGATCCGCGAAAGGTAAATTATTGTGATTCCTCAAAAAAGAGAAGGTCAAGAATTATGAAAGGTGGACTTGTCGAACAGTTAAAGAAAGTCACAGCAAGAGAGATGTCTTCCTTGGTTTTCTGGCAGCATTCTTCCAACCAAACTAGATATGATTCACTGGATGAAGACAGGGGAATAGATACCTTGACCCTGCAAATTCTGAAAGCTGAAAAAAACTTTTCTTTGGTAACTCTGATTTGCTGTACTGTTGACACACACTCAGAGACTTATTGTATAATGCTTCATGGAGACAACTATAGAGAAATGAAATTGTCAATTGGCAACCATCTGAGAGTGTTTCCTCCTTTTAAAAAAGTTAGCGTTTCTGGGATAGCTGTACCAGTCATTTTGTGCACATATTTTATGAAAAATATCACAGGAGAAGATAATGATATCAGAAAAGCATTTGATGTCCCAGACAATAAATCACTTTTATCATGTACTTATGATGAGAACTGCAATCATATGGAAAAGGGAAAGAATTCTTTGAGTAGTGAAGCATTTGTTAGCATGGGAAAACAGATTGATCTACTTTATAGCTTTGTTTCTTGCTGTTACTTCAAGCCATCATCCTTTGTAGCAACTGTTGTAAAGTCTAAAATTGTTTTGGGAAATGTATGCCCAAACTTTTCTTCAACATGTGATGAAAGCATCATTGATGTGTTTAAGACAGAAGCAAAAGAAGCAAAAAGGAATGTAAATATGGAGGTTTACTTTCTAATTTTGGATGAGAACAGGAAACTGGCATTACTAAATTGTCCTTTAGAAAAGTACAAACAATTTCATATTGGTAAGCTATCATCTTTAGTTCAAACCACACTTATATTTCAGAATTTCACTTTGAGAGGAATCAAGAATGCTGCCTTTGATCCAACAATATTATCCTTCTATGGCAAACTAGATGAAAACGAAAAAGAACATGGCAACTCAGTTCCTTGTTTTATCTTTGCCAGTTCTGCAGAAAGTGCTATTTTGGTCCTGGGAGATCAGAAGTCAGATGAAGAGAGCATGACACGCTGTAATAAGACTGTAGCTTTGAGGAATTCTTGTAGAGAATCTTTTTTTGCCCATTGCATTTCTATGTTGCCAGAAATCAATAAACAAACCCTGATTTTTTCATCTAAGGTCTATTCAATGTTGCTCATAAGATTGTGTGACCTTCATCAAACAGAAGGCCTTGCATCAGATAGTGAAACTTCATTGGTTCTGTTAGAAAAACTTTCAAGCTGCTTTGTGCCAAGATATGTTTCAGACTGCTTTCTAGAGGATGGGCAAATTCTATATCTGAAAGACGTCTCGAAGGATACCAAAAGTAAAAGAGTTATTGCTGATAGTTACACAGAAATCTGTCTGGTAAATAGTGCTTGTCTTGCCAATGCCAGTGATTCATGTGATTTAGTTGGTTACGGAACATTTGAAGTAGAGGAAAAGGCAATGAATCTGTTGAAAAGACAGCAAAAGCCTCACATTTCCATGCTGTCTGTAAGCAGTGAGCGTGGCACATTTGTACAAGTAGAAGGTTTTGTTTCAGGTATTAATGAAGAAACTGCCATGTTTTGGGTTGTTTGTGATCAATGCGGAGAAGAACTAAAAGATGGAGTAACACAGAAATTGCTTTTTTGTCAAACGTGTGGTAAGAATGTTGGAAGAAAAATACATGTGCAGCTAGATATTCTGCTGAAATGTGAGCTTGCAATTGATACTGCTATTTGTATAAGGTTATTGGAGAAAACAATTTATGAATACTTGCCAATGGACATTACTGAAGATTTCAGTGGTTATGACATTGATTGCATCATTGGAAAGAAATTTGGCCCAACAATTTGCTATGTAATGTCAAAAAGACAGAATTCTAACTCGGTGCCATTGATAGAGTTAAAGGAAGCTAATGTTGCTAAAGGGTTTGATTTTTCAATTTTTTAGCTTCATTTTCCATCTTATGAAACAATTTCATGACTTTTTTGCTGTTCATATTCATTAGTTTAGACATCAATAGTCTTGAGGAATATCAGATCTTGAAAGCTAAAAGTAATGACATGTTAGATTAAATACATTTTAGTTATTTTATTCAATTAGTGATGCAATTTGTAGAAACTTAATGATAAATTGCCAAGTGCACAGGTTTTCCACCCCTTATTTAACAATAAGTTGTCAGCTAAGTATATCTGGCCAGAAAAATCGAAAAGTTTGTCTTAAAATGACTTGTTTGCTCATTAAAACTCCTAAACATATGGTTTATAATTATTTATCTTAACCGATTTTTGCCAACCTAGATAATAACTTGCTCTCGCTCTCTGATCTCAAATTTTCGATGATTTTGTATAAGACCAAACAGGAATGGGAAATTTCAAATTAAAAACATCTTTTTTGGTGGCCAGTTTCAACCTCCTAAAATTGATGGGAGCATTTCTATCAAGTATCCATCTGTTTTCTTAGACACCCCCTCCCCAAACAAAAGAGTGCACCCCTTTGCAACATAAATTGTGGTAGGAACGTTTATGGCCCGTTTGGGAATAAGCCAGTCTCACATCAAAAGAGAAAGAAAGTTTTTAGAAAAGGGAGTCATTTGACGAGTGAGAATGAAACTCCGGCTTATGTGTGCAATTATGATGTATAATGATTTTGGCTGTGAAGCGACATGAGATGTAAATTTTGCCTTCCCCTTAATACGCATGCTTAAATGATACACTTTCTCCAGACAAATTGATAGAACAATGGCCTTCTTCTATGTTTTATATGTGTTTTATCTCGCAATTATTACGTCTACCCCCTCCCGAAAAGAACAATGTTGATAGTTTAGGCAAATAGCTCAGGGGACTGAGCCCCACTTGTTAATGCCGAAAGTTGGCAAGAATATACTTTTTCTATTGTTTTTCGCAACATTTTCTGCAAGAGCCCCCCTTGTTATTTTGACAGCTCTACAACACCACTGCATACAATTCCCACGAAAAAAACATACTACCTTATTTGTTTTCTTTGTCGTTTTAAAGAAAACTAACATCTTCCTAGGGGAAAAGAAGATCGCTACAAACTCCTAGGGGAAAGGAAGGTTGGAAAACTGACGTCAGTGATTTTTTTTTATATTCTCATAAAATTTACAACGACAATCAATTACAATACAAAAGCCTAGGGAGCATGGAAATGCATAACAACCCTAAGAATTACACTTAACATCGAGACACAAATATTACAATAATAAGCTACAAAAGTGATTGGAGTGGTGTCGCCCATCGTTCCAATAGCGTTGCAGATATGAAAAATACTCACAAAAAGCTATTTAAAAGAAAATATCAAGTCTACCTATGTTACTTGCTAATCAAACAAATTTGCGCCCAGACCTGATGAGCGACACCACTCCAATCATAAAAGGAATAAAATTTACACAAAAGAGAAAATAATTTACACGAGAGAGGTTTTCACGAGAAAGTTGATAACTTATTGGAACCGTTCTGAGGCCTGAATGTATTTTAATGTTGCATCAAGAATGTTTGTATTTGAATCAAAAGGTAACTTTTCATGGCCATTAGCAGTGATTGTTAACAAAGGGACTTTCGTTGTCAGAAATAATGTAGCATCTTTGTCTGCGTTCGCGGGATAGCCTAGATCTTTTGATTTATCTAAACTCCAGTTCATTTTATGAATGTGTCAGTAACTCGTTCTTCGAGTTAAGAATTTAATAAATAATCTATTTAGTAAAAATTAAAAATATTTTACTCTATATTTTTCCATAAAACGATTTTTCAACATTTTAATAATAGGAGTTGAGGCATTTCACTATTTTAACAAATAAAAAGAGGTGCAACTGAACTCATGGTACCTGCAACGTGAAATAATATTGAAATTCAATATTTTTCTAAGCTATTGACTCAAACTCCTTAAACCCGTCAAAATTCTTCATTAACTAGCAACGTGCTCTGTTCCTCGACCATTCTGGCATGGCACGAGCAAATAAACTCCATTGGGTTATTTGGTAAGCTATAAGATATTGAAATGCAGTCTTGTCTGATGCGAGTAGTACAAACAGTTTCGGCATAATGCTTTGTAAAAAGTCCGAACGTCATAAAGTCATTAGAACGTCATAAAACAAATCAGCACGTGAGAGTGAAAGTCGAACTCAATGGGGAGGTGTCCAGTTCCTCTTTTTAGGACATCTTTCATCTGCCCACATGCTTACAAGTTTTCCATTGAAGAGTTATCTGCGAAATGGCGAAAACTTCACGCTTTTGAAACTGAATTTAGTTGAAAGGAGGGTTCAAATCCCTACAACCCCAATAGCCAGGACCGCCGAGAGTGGGGGCAAGGAAGGCAAACTTCCTCAGGGTATAGGGGGCCTCGTAAAGCATTAAGTTCCATTATAAGAATAGAATTAAGAAAACTTAACAAAGGTTTGCCTAAAAAAGTAAAACGTTTTGAACGACTGCAAGAAAATGACTGCAAAAATGATCTGAAATATATTTAAAGGAAATCTAAAGGGCGTGGTCAGAAAATTTTCTGCTAGCAAGGGGCAGCACCTTAGGATTTTGCCTCAGGGCCTCCAAATCCTTGCAGCGACCCTGCCAATAGCTACAGCCTTCTGAGCGGTTAAATGACAAATTCACTGATTGCAAGGCAAAGGCAACAAGACTAAAATCAATTACACTCTTTTCTTAATAAGAACCAGTAAATTTGAGTTCAAGCCGACTGTTCTTAATTTTTTCGAAAATCTGAGGTTGGATTGTTCTTAATTTGTTCTTAATCTTAATCTAAGTGTGTAAGCAGTGCTATTGCTAGCTTTTTCGCTTTAAGGAGGTGTTCAGGCCTCATTTGCCAACAAAATGAGCGAGACCGCCTTAATTTGCTGAGAAATCTGAATATTCACCGAGAATGCACCCACACATTGCTAAAAATCCTTGGTTTTGAGAAAAAACTTTGTTCAAAATTGCATTTTGCATAAGCTCAGCCTCAATTTGTTCTTAATTTTTTCTTAACTTTTGACTAATTTTGAGGTTCGTGTTCTTATAAAATCGTTCTTATAAAAAAATGTACAGCCATAAGTCTGATATAAAGTAACGCGTATACTAGACAGGGAATTTTGTAGAAAAAACTAGCAAACTGCCTAACCTCAAATTTTATTTCACATTCTTACTAAATCGACCATGGAGATTCCAAATCCAAGATGGGCCAAAAAAAATTATCACCGGAAGTTACTGTTTTTGATGACGTCATCAAAAAAATGATCAAAAATCTTTAAAAATCGGCAAAGGACTCGAACTCAACTTTTTTTGTATTTTTGCACTAAATTAACTATGCAGATTTCAAATCTGAGATGAAATGAAAAAATCTTGAACGGAAGTCAAATTTTGTGATGACGTCATCAACTTGGAGAAAATTCACTTTGTACCTTTTTAATTGTTTTCTCGCCACTATCATTGTCAAATATGTTCCATATTCGAATTGCACACATTCAGTGCTTTCAAAGATGTATTGAATTTCTATTATACTTACTTTTAAACGTTCTTTCATGACGCCATCATCGTTTTATGACGTCATCGCCTTTTAAGGGTAATTGAATAACGCGTGAAAGGATGCCTAAAAATCTTTAGCTAGTTAAAAAAGCCATTCAAAATTAAAATTTCGTTGTATAGAAAGTGATATGGATCCATTCATCCTTCATCACTGTCTCCTTTGCTGGAACTCCAGAAGAAAATGTAGTTCCACTCATCATCGTCTGCTTTAAGTTGATCACCTCACCATAATTTTTCCCATGGCCTAGTCCTAATTGGTAACGGAATTTTCTTCGATTTCATCACTAGAGCGCTGCAGATCTTGCAGTTTTTTAGCGGAGGGTGTGCGGGGCCCTGCACAAGATGAACATAATTTGTGTGAAAAGAATTTTGGAATTATTATGCTGACTCCAGTATTTTCTGCAGATATTCACAGCTTTTTTAACGTTGAAGATCGGATTTTTTTGTCATCAAGCCGTTAAGAAACGTTTTTCTCTGTATATCCTCTTCGTGCCATTTCTTATTTATTTATCAAATGTATGTTCAAAATTAGAATATGTAAAGAAATTTTTTTCCTATAAACCACACTAATACCACCTGTCGGCCAGATCATTCTTTCCATCGTATGTCTAACCAAAGCTTAAAGGCAATTTCTCTTACAATCTTCTTTTGATAATGTAACCAATAGTAAATGCTTGTGTCAACCAGTATGGATCTGGTTGTAGAGCTTCTGATTATCTGTTTTTCATTGCCTTGCGAATTCTTACTCTTATCTGCACAAGTGTTTCATCACATTTCCCTTTGTATGATTATTTTTGCACAAATTTTATCGCTTTCGTGAGAATGTTTTTGCAGATTTCCTGTCTCCTCGTAACTCTCTCAAGCAATTTTCCCTTTCCAGAACACTCCTAAAGCTTTTTAAAATGTTAGCTTCCCTTACAACAACATTACTGGTGTTGTTTCGCAGCCAATAACTGCGTGAACAGCCGGTAGATTTTTGGAACTATCTAAACCCAGGTAAGATATGACGTTCCAAAATTAACCTACTTCTCGTTGTCAATCTTTAAGGAATATTTCCTTGAAGGCTTTTCACACAATAAGCAGAAAACTTCATTAGTGTCCTTTCGACAACTAATAAATTTTATCGATGAGGAAAGAATGGAATATCAAGTAGATGTCAGCCTCTTCATAGCTGCAATTAAGCAAGTATGTCGTGGAATCTTTGATTATCTTTAAGGTTTGTTATTTATTGGTAAACATGAGTGCTTTCAAAGTTAACTGCTTTCCTTCTTAGCCCTGGTAGAGCCTTGAACTAGCTTTAGAAAGTAAGTTTGATACAACAAGAACCAGACCAGATCATACAAAATGTTCTTGACAAGTTATCAAGTAGGAACCGAGTTTTTGCAATGGGTTATCACAGAGATAAAGTGTTATACCCGCACTAAACCTATCTTATATTCTATTTCAAGGTTTTTTTTGCTGTTAGTGATGCTTGGCAGACCTGCATTACAAAGATCAAGATAATCCAAAGGCTTTACCAGGGCTAAGAATTAAAGCAGTTAATTTTGAAAGCACTCGTGTTTACCAATAAAGAACAAACCTTAAAGATAATCAAAGATTCCACGACATACTTGCTTAATTGCAGTTATGAAGAGGCTGACATCCACTTGATATTCCATTCTTTCCTCATCGATAAAATTTATTAGTTGTCGAAAGGACACTAATGTAGTTTTCTGCTTATTGTGTGAAAAGCCTTCAAGGAAATATTCCTTAAAGATTGACAACGAGAAGTAGGTTAATTTTGGAACGTCATATCTTACCTGGGTTTAGATAGTTCCAAAAATCTACCGGCTGTTCACGCAGTTATTGGCTGCGAAACAACACCAGTAATGTTGTTGTAAGGGAAGCTAACATTTTAAAAAGCTTTAGGAGTGTTCTGGAAAGGGAAAATTGCTCGAGAGAGTTACGATGAGACAGGAAATCTGCAAAGACATTCTCACGAAAGCGATAAAATTTGTGCAAAAATAATCATACAAAGGGAAATGTGATGAAACACTTGTGCAGATAAGAGTAAGAATTCGCAAGGCAATGAAAAACAGATAATCAGAAGCTCTACAACCAGATCCATACTGGTTGACACAAGCATTTACTATTGGTTACATTATCAAAAGAAGATTGTAAGAGAAATTGCCTTTAAGCTTTGGTTAGACATACGATGGAAAGAATGATCTGGCCTACAGGTGGTATTAGTGTGGTTTATAGGAAAAAAATTTCTTTACATATTCTAATTTTGAACATACATTTGATAAATAAATAAGAAATGGCACGAAGAGGATATACAGAGAAAAACGTTTCTTAACGGCTTGATGACAAAAATATCCGATCTTCAACGTTAAAAAAGCTGTGAATATCTGCAGAAAATACTGGAGTCAGCATAATAATTCCAAAATTCTTTTCACACAAATTATGTTCATCTTGTGCAGGGCCCCGCACACCCTCCGCTAAAAAACTGCAAGATCTGCAGCGCTCTAGTGATGAAATCGAAGAAAATTCCGTAACCAATGAGGACTAGGCCATGGGAAAAATTATGGTGAGGTGATCAGCTTAAAGCAGACGATGATGAGTGGAACTACATTTTCTTCTGGAGTTCCAGCAAAGGAGACAGTGATGAAGGATAAATGGATCCATATCAATTTCTGTACAACGAAATTTTAATTTTGAATGACTTTTTTAACTAGCTAAAGATTTTTAGGCATCCTTTCACGCGTTATTCTATTATCCTTAAAAGGCGATGACGTCATAAAATGATGATGGCGTCATGAAAGAACGTTTAAAAGTAAGTATAATAGAAATTCAATACATCTTTAAAAGCACTGAATGTGTGCAATTCGAATATGGAACATATTTGACAATGATAGTTGCGAGAAAACAATTAAAAAGGTTCAAAGTGAATTTTCTCCAAGTTGATGACGTCATCACAAAATTTGACTTACGTTCTAGATATTTTTCATTTCATCTCAGATTTGAAATCTGCATAGTTAATTTAGTGGAAAAATGCAAAAAAAGTTGAGTTCGAGTCCTTGGCCGATTTTTAAAGATTTTTGATCATTTTTTTGATGACGTCATCAAAAACAGTAACTTCCAGTGATAATTTTTTTTGGCCCATCTTGGATTTGGAATCTCCATGGTCGATTTAGTAAGAATGTGAAATAAAATTTGAGGTTAGGCAGTTTGCTAGTTTTTTCTACAAAATTCCCTGTCTATACTTTATATGGGCTGTTTGTACAATATTATTTATTTGTATACCCTTACCTCTATATCCTAAATAAAGATATACAGATGGCTTATTTGGACGTACAGGACGTAGCCATTGTTTAACCGTTTAACGTATACGTGTACAAGTGCTCTTACAGAATAGGGCCAGAGATCTATTAGGTTAAATTAATACAGATATCCATTGTTTTGTGGTCCAAACGTATTTCAAGGGCTCTTGACGAACAAGAAAATCTAGCTGACCACTCGCCGATTCGCTTTTCAACTTTGTTTTACAATTTCGGGAGTTTTCTCAGGTTCACATCGACCTGACAAGGGTGCTTAAAAGGGGAATGGTAATTACAGAAACAGCATTTGCTTTGTGTCACTCACAATTCTTGAAGGAGGTCAGATAAACAAAAGGCACGTCTGGACAAAATATCGGGTCGATACGAAAACGAATAAAAATGAATACGGAGCAATGTGAACATAGCCCGCAAAACCTGTCAACTGGGGAGACGAGTCTAAATTGTTTGAGCTATTATTCAATCCAATTGTCTTAACTAATAAGAAAGGGCATTCGCAGGGTGAAATCATCATTTGAGCATATGCATTCACAGCATTTAATCAAAACTTTAAATCATAGAGCTTGCAGGTACATTCGAGCAAATGCTGGTCCTTATCTCCAATGAGAGTATCCATTGCTTTCGAGATATTGAAATCATTTTGCAAAGAACCGGATGCAGGTGTCTTTATGACGTCAGCTAAATGAAATTAGCGCGCTTTTCTGTTTGATGTTTGATTTGCATAACCTTCTGCTTGGATTATTATGCGGTGTAATTAAGGTGCTCCCTTTACACGTTATCCAAAATATTTGCAATAAAATTCACAGCAATGGCTTTAAAGTGAACGCACTAAATGGAAAGTTTGCGCAGCTGATAATTACGAAACACAGAATTTCTTAAATTAACAACGTATTTGCATCAGATTAGAGAATACCCTGAGCAAAACTTGTCTGGATCCAGATTATCAAAGACATTTGCTTGTCTTTCCTCTATCAGTGATAAACTGAATTCAACAACAAGACGTAGTAGCGTATAATTTGTGATAAATGAGATAAATGGATTGCATCCACGACGACGTAAACTGTACCTGGCCAAAAGAAGAAATTTGGAGACTTTCGATAGTGAATCTGACAATATTTTTTATTTTGGATGGCATCATTGAACTGCTTGCCCTTGTTGCAAATTCTAGCTTCTTATTCATACTAGTGAAACAGAAGTCTCTCCATTCTCCATCGAACATGTTGCTAGGAGCTTTATGTGTAGCAGATCTTGCTATTAGCTTGGTTCTCCAGCCCGTTTTCCTGACACATCTTTCGCTATTTTTCACTGGAGGAGAAGTTAATCAAACCATCCAAGATGTGCTCGATTTGCTATTCGACGTATTTTTCGGTTTGTCATTTACTTTCATCATTTTGATAAGCCTAGATCGATACATCGCCATTTGTCATCCGTTCAAGTACCAGGCCTTGGCCACATGCAAGTCTCATTTGCTTATTTCGTTTGCATGTGGAGTAGTTATTTCAGGATTATTCAGCCTTGACTACTGCTTGTCAATAAAGAGTCAAGAGTCTTTGATGAAAGATCACATTACCTCTACACTAAGGGTCGTCCACTATGTCATTCCTGCCACCGTTATAATTTTCTGTTATTGTAAGATTTATTTGGTCATCAGGGCGCAAAGTAAGCGTCAAATTTCGATTGGTACTATCAAAGATTCTGAGAAAATTGAAATTTCGAAAAAAAGAAGCGAGAGACGAAAGACTGGAACCATAGCTTTGATTTTAGTCTGTTTCTTTGCATGTTACGCACCAAATTTCATTTTGGTTCTGATCATTTTGCTTGGTACTGTTAATATGGACACAAACACTATGGAGACTGCATGGCTCTGGACAAGCTTCACATTATTCTTGACAAGTCTTCTAAACCCGATTGTATACTATTTAAGGAGCAGAGAAATAAGGCAGGCAGCAAGAAAACTTTGCAAAAGATCATCGCCAGTCAATTCAGCTACTTAAGTTTGAAATACTTCGTCAACCCATGCTTCCAATTTCAGAGGAACTTGGTTACGGCATCAAAACAAGCTGTTTAACGAAGTAAATGTAAACATTGTAGAGATATACCATGGAACTCCGAGGCTGAGAGTAGCTAAAAGTTTAGCTGCGTTCAAGGGCAGACTTTGTTTTGGGAATTGTCTTGCTTCAGGATTTGGACAGGTGACGAGTTCCAAGGGAGGCAGTCTTCTTGAGCGAACATCCTTTGAAACGTACGTCCTCAATCATCGTTAGCTAAGAGAAGAAAATTGCAGTTGCATCAAGAAAAAAGTTTGGTCACGCAAAGATAGATTCGTCACTTGTTCCAGTCAATGATGATGGCGTGGAGGCCGTTGCGTTTATGAGCTTCCACAACGCATTGAAGTCAGCCGAATGTAATTGTCAAGAAATGCGGAAAAGAACACATTACAAGATGTTTACCTACCAAGAATACGATTCATTTCAACTTTCGTATGAAGAAAATTCTGATAAATTTCTGTCATTAACCATAAACAATATTTCTTAAAAAAATCGAATTATTAACGCCAAGTCTTATATGCACACACTTTTTTTAAAAACATTTCTGTACTTTGCTAGGTATACCACGATACACTCCGTGCTTTGGGTATGAAAATAGAATGGTACGGTAAAGTTGTATTTAACGAATATATTCAATTAAGACGATTGACAATATAGACGATTGACAATTATCAAAATTTTACTGCGCTTTCTTAAGAGCCCTATTACGTATTAAGAGTCATGTTATCACCCAAATATTTCGGAAACATTGCAGCCACACTATTTTCTACCGTATACAGCATAGTGCACTCGAAACAGAGCAAGGAAAGACATATTCAAAAGAAGTCATCTCAAGAACTGGTGAAGAAGGGTGAAATTGTTTAAGGATCGTAATATGCAGGAAAAAGTTGTGAATGCCTAAAGTTATCTGCTGCCCAATGTAATCTACAGAGTGCCTTGCAGGCCTGCTCTATCTGTATTCTAATTTAAATGCTAGAGCAGATCATTAAAAGAAGTATTGCGTTATTATTTAGCCTATGAAATCTCCCCGAAAGTTTTTTTCTGTAAAGAAATATTACAAATTGTACTGTTTTTCTTCGAAATAGTTTCTGTGAAATAACTATGGTAAAACGTTTTCCGCGTCATAGGACGTTCTACTTTGGAACCCACCTAGCTTACTCTATATTACAATTAGCTATGAATTACCAACGGCTCATGCCAACTTCTCTAATAAAATTCTCTCTTTAGCCCTGGTACTTGTTCCCTTCAAGAGTTGTTCATCAATAAGAATTCTGGTTACCTTAAACGTATTACGTATTTCGTACAGCAATTTATATATTAGTGGTTAAAAGCTAAAATGTTTAAACGTAAGACATTTTTCTGTCCATTGGTTTGTGCCCTTATTCTTGGAGCTGCACTAGATACAGATCAAGTACGTCTTCATCAAACTCACTTAATTCAAACTTTTGCCCATTTTGTTTTCAAGTCCTTCAAAAATCTCCAAATACACCCCTGCAAAAATCCTTTAACTTTTTGATTCGGCCAATTCTGTAGGGCCTCTGAGGAAAACAACCTCTCTTTCTACTTCGTATATTCTTCGAAATTAGAAAAAAGGTGGTGAGTATTTTATTTTATTAATTCTCCTAATATTGAAGCTATTGGGTTTTTTGGTAGTTATTCAAGTCACTTAAGTCAATACATATTGGGGAGATTTTCGTCAAGTTTGGTAATTTGCCGGCTAAGGACAAATAGATGGCAAATAACACCTCGCTTTGCAATGGAATCTTTTCAAGGGTGTGTCATACCCCACATGTCCACGATGTTCCCCTATGGCGACAGGCCTGGATTCTATGGGGGTTGCTTACTGGCTTGAGAAGTGTTTTTAGGTATCTCTATAAAGTTTTTATCGATCTTAAACATGATGACGACACGAGACTTTTTCAACCTTCAACCAAACACCTAACCCTTAGTTTTCAGTTACTTTGGTCCAAATGTCTTGAATCAAATCATCCACAAATTTATATGAATTCAAAACTCATATTGAAAATTTGTTTCTTGGCATCACAAGTGCTGCTGCACACCGCTGCTCCAAAGTTACGAAAATTTGGTTTTTTCAGTAAAATAAGGCTAGAAAAAGTTTTGATACGATGCAATTTTACAAAATTTTGATTTTCAAGTATAAATAAGAGAAATCTAGAACAAATGAAGATATGAGCTTATGCTTCACATCGTAAATTTTTACCAACCACAAACACGAGTAAGTTTTTACTGTAGCATATCACAAATACGAGAGAGAAGGCGACCTTGTGATCTTTTATAATCGATTCTTTCAAGATTCATTCTCTAAATCAACTACTAACAATGTCAAGCGATACAAGTCCAGCTTGTAGAAGCATCTTATTTTCCCCAGAGTTTTTTTGGGTAGTAACGGTGGCAGCGCTTTGCGTAGTATTTCTTGTAATAATTGCTCCAGTACTTTTTATAATAGTTGCTGTAATATCTTCTGTAATACAGGCTGTAGTACTTCTTGTAGTACCTGCTGTAGTAGTTCTTGTAATACCTGCTGTAGTATCGCTTGTAATACAGCTTGTAGTATCGGCTATAGTACTTCTTGTAATAGGCTTGGTAGTGTCTCCTGTAGTAGAGCTTGTAGTATTTGCTGTAGTATTTCTTGTAATAGAGCTTGTAACGGTGGCACCTGCATGGTTTGCATCGGCACCTCTTAACACCATAATAGGCTGGATCATGGGTATCCTCTGCTGGCTCTGAAATAGATCAAGATTAACAGAATAAGTGATATAACTTCTAATGTGCGTTGTAACATAAAATATTTTTAAAGAGGAAGACATTTGAGCGAGTCAGTATTGACCTGTAATATTGAAAACATATGCTGTGTAGTCGACAGCCAAAAAAGGCGACGAAAATCGGATCTGCGAATGTAGTTGTTTTTTGATAAATTTTTGTAAAATTGATCACTGCAGGTGCAAGAATGTAGCGTGGGAAAGTGAGTTTTTCTTGTTATATTTCGAGAGTGACTTACTTTTTCTCTTAATCCGTGATAGTAAAATCATTTGAACGACTGGATTAGCTTTTTAATCACAAAATACGATTTACTAACAAACAAAAAATGAGCATCAACCTTCTATTTCACTTGGGTCCTCTTCTTCGGGCAAATCTGCAGCTTCATTTTCTTCATCCTCCGCCTCTAGATCTGCCTCGGGCTCATCTTCATCGTCCTCGTTTTGATCTTCAGAAGATTCTTCGCTGAAGTCAGATGGCTGTTCTTCCTTTGCAGCAGGAGCATCTTCGTTCGATTGGTCTTGCTTTTGGTCTGCCGAGGCAACCTCAGACTCTGTTGCTGCGGCCTCTTCACCTGTGTTGGAGAGAAACCACGTTAAAATCGTATGTTGCGTGTAGAAATGGGGATAATGTGTGTTACCTCATTTTATTAAGTTTTTGCTTTCGTTCATCGATTTATACATTGGAAGATTTTGAAGGGTTAAAGGCCAAACTGTCGCTCAAATTTTTTTTCGTATAATTATATCTTGGAGACCCAACGACTCCCGATTTTCGCTAATTGTGAGGAGGCCGCCCCTTGACCCTGGAATTGAACGATTAATAAAACAAGAGCAGTCTGGCCATCAATAACTTTCAATTTAGTTAGAAGACAAATATAGGGCCATAACCCTGGTGGCTACGTTTGGTGGCTCTGAAGACTGTCGTTTGGCATAAACCTTGGTGTTCCTGGGTAAACCAGTTCAAGGGCCATTAAAATATTTCGCGCTTATTGACTGTTCACTTTCTGGGAAAAGATTACGCCAAAACTGTTACGCCGTTTTTGAACAGATAAAGAAGTTGCAGCATACTTTGCCAATGCGGGATTTAACGTAAACGAATTAGGATGACCAGCGCAGGATGTGAATTATTTCAGCTTTGGAAACTATTTCGTGTTTTCCTATCATATCATGTTTTGGCCAATTTACACCATTGTTATATGATTTGCAATAGAAAGTTCTTATTTCTGTTTGAAATCCCCAAAAATTAAATTAAAAAATTACCAAAGGCAATAAGAAGCGAACAAATGAAAACAAAATAACTTACCTCGTACAAGGCAGAACGCCATTCCCAAAATGGCAAGAAGGAACAAAAGTCTCATCTTCGCAACCTGTTAAAAAGAAAGAATTAATTATAGACAAAATCTATTCTAGTGAAACAGCAATTATTTTTGACATTCTTTGATATGATATCTGTCGGTATCCTGTACAAAGCAAAGATGTATCATCAAAATTGTGCAGATAACTTTAAGTTCAAGGGTATTATTCAGAAATTATAATGTAATGTTAACTAAAACATTATAATCGGATTATCCTGTAGTGTGGCATATTGAATCTGCATTTTTAGCACTTTAATATCAACATGGCACAATATAGAGAAAAAGTAACAGATAACTAGTAACTGAATTTTTACTTACGATCTTTCAGCTTCTTCACTTGTCTTCTGTGTCTATGGAACACCTTTTGCGAATGATAAGGTGACTGTCGAGGCTTCTTTTTATATCTTCTTGCCAGTCATAAAATCCTCTTTACAAAGATTTATTGGACAGTTGAACATATTAATTACGTACCCAATTAGGCCATTTTCCCTGATAATCAGATCGCTGCAAAATACGTTTCCTGTTCTTAAGAGTGATATTTCCTAATTTCACAAAGTATTAACGTAATGTCTCCCTAACAATTTTGAAAGCTTTTAAGAAAAAAATAGGGAAAGGAAGATATATTCATGGTTGGCAGTTGTCATCATCTCCAGGAAAAAGAAACCGTATTCGAAACCAAATTGGGTCTTTTGCACATTGTAAACAAAATATTAAAAAATGATTCAAGCTGAGATGTTGATTGAGAGGTAGTTGATGTATGGTCTAGAAAGAAAATAACCTTCAGTAGGAGACAGGTATTTAACAGCCAACCCTCCTCCTTCCTTGCAAAAAAGTTCACTTTTGCCTTTCAGATTAGCGTAAAGCACATTTCAAAATATCACTTGCAGTCATTTGTGTAATCGTTTAGAACGTTTTACTATTTCTAGGCATACTTTGCTGCGTTTGATTAATTCCATTTCAAAAATCTACTTAATTATTTTATGAAGTCCCTATGAACTCGAGGCCTTGGGGAAATTTGCCCCCCTCTTGCCCTTCTCTCGGCGGCCCTGTTAAACCTTGCTTTAACTTTTTGGATCCCATTTTCAGCTCGGGGCAATTTGTCTTTCCTCTAATGAGACTTGCTTGTAAGGAAAGGGCCAGCATAAAACCTTAATAAAATCACTATAGATAAAAAAGCTGTGATGGATTTGCTTGACAGCAGTAGACGTTAACCTTAAAGGATTGTGAAAAACTCATGCATACTGGCGGAAGGGAAATTTTGGCATACTTGGTTGCTCTATCTAGCTAACGGTATGATTATATTGATACATTTATAAACATTAATAAAGATATGTATTTATAAAGATATAGATACATATTTTGAAGACTGTACAACTTTATTTGGAACCAAGATTTATTTAGTATAGTGAAATTTGCTACGCCAGTGCCGGTGTCAAGTCTTTAATGTCGACAGTAGAGCTTTAGATTACTTTCATTTCTTTGGATGGGAGTTATATTCTCCACATAAAAGATTCCTTCACAAAAAAGTTGAATTCAGTGATATATAGTTACAGCGGAGCATATTGCTGATTGAGGGAGTTGAGGCTTCAGGGGCCTTAACATTCAAAAGGCAAAAAACAAGGTTATTTTTCCATTGTTTTAAGTGCACATTTGAGAATTAACTGGGTTCTTAAGCCCCCATCCCCCGCCCTAGTCTCCCGTTTTCATGGCCCCTGATGACAGGGACGAAAATAAGTGGCTAATTTTGGAAGGGCGTGGAAGGATAAAAATTCCAACTTTATTTGAGAAATTTTTCATTCCACCTGCAAATCTACTGTACCTACCAAATAAATATTTGGAAATAGCTCTTACTCCGTATTTCTAGTTTCTTTATAATCACTAAAATTTTACTCAAAATAATCAGCGTAAGGCATAAAAACCTAAATCTCTAAATTTGGATTAACATGACACAAGTATTTAAACTTACTGTAAGAAGTCTTTTTCTGATTTGCCCATTTTAAAGCTATTTGATGCAGATCGATTTTATCTAGAATATATTGTTCACGATATAGAAGCATCAAGGAATTGAGCCCTTTATCTTTTTTTTTGATCGAAGGAAACTATTAGCAATTTTCAGAGGGCCAAATGCCTTTTCGTTCTTTACAATTAAAATGATGATTTGAGAGCAAGTGCATATGCACGATTCGTAAGATGAAACACCCTTCTTTGATCAAATACACCTGCTGCAGCCTTTGCAATATTTTCTTGATTCTCAGCAGCTTTATCATAGCAATTTTTGTTAATGAATTAAGGACATTTACAAACAACAGGGGGACATTTACAAACAACTCGTCTTTTATAAAAAGCGTTGAGAATTTTTAGTATTGAACAATTCTTAATTTTTTATTGGATCAACTACTCGCAGTTCTCTTAAAAAACTCCCACTTTAATGTTTTCTGATCAATATAGGTATTATTATTCCAAACTGTAAAGTTTCAAGTTTCTCATCCGGAAATCCATTTTGCCTGTTCTTAATTTGATTCAACTTAACTCCCGTCAGAGAGAAAGCCAACGGTGCAACTGTGCAATTTGGATCCAGTGGAGACGGGGCTTCACAATAGAAAACGATCAATGGATGGGTCTGCTCCAGCCTGTGAATTTTAACAAGGATTAAACTTTTTACATTTCAAATCCCACAATTCTTGAAATATAAAATTCAGAAGTTTGGTCTTGAGAAAAAAATTCAAGTCAAACGTTAAGTTTTCCAACTGTAACTGGATTTTTCAAACTTTGGGGGGGGGGGCGTTACACCCGACGCCCCCCTATTATTTACGTGCCTGCCTGATTCTATTTTATCAGCCTATATGGAAGATTCTGGACGTATGTTTGAAACGTTGTTGGAATATTTTTCTAAAGCTCTTACCCGATATTCATGTTGCTAATGAATTTATTGCTGCTTTTAAAAGCTATCCTCTAAGTAGATTTTTATCTGACAGGCGATAATTAATGTCAAAATTACCTTGTTAAGTAATTTATCCAATTATTGAGCAAACTTAATGTGCTCAAAAGCCCATTAAAACTCTTCAAGGAAGCATTTTTTAATGTGTCTATTTTCCTATTACATCACAAGTCACAGAAGTAATATGAATAATTACATCAAAGTCACAATTAATGTCTCCAGGCTTGTCTAGACGACTTAAATGGAAATGAGCAGTCGAATGGTTTGATGAATTCATAACTGAAAATGTTTAATTGCAACCGGTGACGGCCTCGAAAAGGGCTGAAATTTCAACAGTAATGAAATCTGCTTTTCATATATTGCAGCTTTTCGTCTTTTCACCCTCTTGAAAATAAACTATTAATAAATCTCTGAAGTATCACATAAACAGACCCAACATTTTAAAGACTTTAAAAACAATCTAACATCAAAAGATATGGATAGGAATCTTGAGGCTAAGGCTGAAGGTTACTTACTAAATATCAGTTTGGTTCTTTTGTTCCCAAGCCTTTGCTCTCTATACTAATGAAACATGTTTAAAAAATACCTTTCCGTTGGCCATCGAACTCAGAGGACGAAGCACAGGCACAAGTCAACGCCAGTTGGGGGAGGGCTCGCTGTCTCCAGATTTCTATTATGGTAAACAAATTAAGGTAAATTCTAAAATAATGCCCTTTCAAAGAAACTAATATCAAAATAGCACACAGCACACAGCACACACAAAACTTTTAAAGGGTAAAATCGATAAATACATCATTAATTGTTACATTGAATACTTCCTTAAACGATCGTACGTAGCAGCAGAATTTTTATAAACATTATGAAAATGGCAACGAGCATTGTCTCCTTAAAAGTTTGAACTTCATCTCGAGGATCCTCCCCCCCCCCCCATCTAATAAGAACCTCCCCACCAAAATCAATTGCACACAGTTCGCATATGAAATTGCGAATGTCAAAGCAAAGGTAAATATCATTTTAAGATTTCTTACATCCATTTTCAGTTTTGTCGATATGATAAGTTCTTGGCAATATTGTTTCACTTTATTGTCCAGATAGATTGTTAATATTGGGATATCATCGGCAGGCACAGCTAAGAGCCAATGATGCAGTGGAGAAGGCTTTGGAAGGGCTCAGCCCCTCTTGTTAGAATTAAGAGAGATTTTAGGGGGCTCAGCCCCCCTCAACAAGCCAGTAATATTTGTTAGAGCAAATTTCTTTCTTGACAATGTGAATTAACCCCTTATTATGTTATTGATTTTCCATGAATGCGCAATTTCTATTGGCCTTTCAGGCTCGTCGAGACCGGGAGGGGGGGGGGCTGGAGCCTATATCCAGAATAACAATGGACATATAAAATGTGCAGAATGTACAATTCTATTGCATCAGATTCCAGCTGGGCATCGATTTCATTTTTTTGGCTTTGATCGTTACTGCTAAGCTTCAATCTTCATCAGTTATTCATTCATAGATATTCATTTGCCTGGAAATATTATTAAGTGCTTTTCTTTATCAGCTTAAACTGCACCATTAAAGTCGAAGATGAACGCCAAGTACATACTCGTAGGCCAAAAATTATATTTGCAAGTTAACCAGCTTTTGGTTTCCAGAATTTCAGACGCGCAGTTAAATTAAGAGCCTTGGCTAGAAACTGCCCTATCCTTCGCTTTTTTCCAGAAGAAAGAATTTGCTTTTAACGTTTTGTAAAAAATTCATTACACTTAAATCTTGCTACAATTAATTCTTGCTTTTTTTACATTTTTTCCTCCGTATTACCTGGTTTTGAAAGTCTTTTATCTTAGTTTTGAAACATTTCCTTACCAACTTTGATCCCTCCCCTGACTCACTAATTTTCACATTCAAACTTTTTAAATATAGAGCAAAGAGGAAAGGACTTAGCAAATATCCTTGTGTGACCCCTCCGAAACTGGAAAATAATTGCTTGAAGACATCTCCACCACCATCCGAATCATCTCCACTTCTGGCGTTTAATAGCTTTCCCTGTGAGCATTAGTTTAGGATAATGTCACTGCTAACCAGAATAAATGGTCGGTGCAGAAAAGATGTCAATTTCGGACAATATCCTCTGAAAAATCTTCACCTGTGAGAATATTATTGAATAAATGGAAAAATGTGTGATTGAAACTACCATCCCAATATCTAACTCAATTAGCACTATTAACACCCAGTTCAGGCGATTTTTGACCACATGACCTAAAAGAATGCCGTGAAATACCTCTCAATATGTAAAATCAGTTAGATATGTTCGAAATTGGGTAAATATTTCCAAGAAAAGATTTGAAGTTTGCTAACGAATCACTGTTATTTTGGCTATGTTCAGAAAGGAAACAATTCACAGTGGTGTGATGGAGAAAGAGCCTCTTCTCATGTGACCATATACATGGCAATTCATAACAGATTTAACTAATTTTGCAAATTTAGAGGTGTTTTATGATGATCTTCTATGCTATTGGATCCAAATTCTTAAATTCCAAAATAGATTTTTGTGCCCTTATCACTTAAGCCTTATCATTTGAGAACTCTATCAAAAAGCTAACTTTTTGAAAGTCAAAGATTAGTTTTTCTCTTTTCCTTTTTCTAGTTTTTCAAAAAGATCTCTGGGGACGCAAAGAGAACATGTCATGTTTACAGAAGGTTTTTATCAAACTTACTTGACAAAATATTCTTCACGAGAGACAGATTTCGACATGCCTAACATAGTTCAGTTTTGGTCATTTGCTTCTAAACTCATCGTCATCGTCATACTATTAATTTTTGGAATAATATTACGAAATGTTTCTGTGAAAAGATGCTTTTGGGCGGAAAACATTTCTCTGCAATATCAATCTCTGCAATATCAGCCTAAGAAAACTTAAAATCAAACATGGTGGCATTTACCACTCTGTAGTTGTATATTTATTTCATTCAGACAAGCAGAAACTTGATTATTTCATTGTCCAGTACCCTTTTTTTTACATTCTTTAGAAAACTTGCTTAAACAGAGTAGTCTATTCTTCAATCTAATATTCTTAAACTATCCGCTTCTCAAATTTCAGTCATATCAGAACCACTTTTTATTAAAGGTACTTAAATAAGCACCATATCTTTGTATAATGACATATATGATATATTTTATAATTATCACCAACTTGGAGATAATTGCTCATTTGATCATTTGTGACAGATATCTTATAAGACACGCAGGCTATATAAGGTCATCATTTAGATTATTCATTGCATAGATTGTAGAAAGAAAAGAAGAAAACACTTCTCGTTAAGTATGTACGAAACATTATTGCGTAGTAAGAGACAAGAATCAACTTTATCTAATTTCCTTTCTGTTTAACTTTTCTTTTCTTCTTTGCCCTTTCAGATTCTTTGTCTAATATTCTCTTTTTTCTTTTGTTGATTTCTCGCTTTTCTCCAAAATTACTGTCGGTCAATTTTAGCTCCACTTCTCGTCTCACAATAGACACGGCCTTGAGGAGCTTAACGGCTTCGTTTTCGTTAGTTTGGAATACTTCAAGTTTGGTGTTAATTCTTTCCTCAATTGCTTTTATTCTTTCGATGTCGTATTGTGTGGTAAGTGTAACTGCCATACCCCCACGGCCTGCCCTAGCAGTTCTACCAACACGGTGTATATAATCAGTTGGATTAGCTGGTACGTTGCTATTTATAACCATGTCCACAATAGGGATATCAAGCCCACGACTAGCTACGTCAGTGGAAACTAATATTTTGACCATCCCGCCCCTAAACCGTGCTAGCGTCGATAAACGGTCTTTCTGTGACATCAAAGAATGAAGTGGGACGCAATCAAGTTCAATCTTTCGAAGCATGTTGGCCAGTGCTTGGCAGTTTCTGCAAGTACTAGTAAATATGATGACGGACTTGTTTTCGGCATGTTCCCTCACAATATATACCAACATGGAATCTTTCATCACCGGAGGTACAAGAACAAATCGTTGATCTAACTCAGACACAGTTGCAATGCTGAAAGAAATGTATGCATTAACAAGCAACTTCAAATTACTTTAGAACAGTTCAAGCTTGGCTGACATACATTGGAAAAATTAATCTAAATTCGTGTATCTGAAGACATGCATTCTTTGCTGGCTCAAGTTTCAAGCCAGCCTATCCCTTGCTTAACTCAGCTATGAATTGTGCACCTTGATAAAAAATATTGCTTTGAGGCATGTAATCAGCCACACACCTACTAAAATCATTACAGAGAGGCCAGATCTATTGTTGCTAAATGCAAAAAAAATTTCAAGATACTTACTCTGACTGGATTTCATAGTAAAATGGCCTTTTCTCAGTGGAATCTTTCAGTGCTTTTATTGGATCTGATAATGTTGCAGTGAAAAGAAGTGTTTGTCTTTCCTTTGGTATATGTTCAAAGATGTCATTCAAATCTTCAGAGAAACTGTCTTCAAACAAACGATCTGCTTCGTCAAGCACAAGAAACTTTATCTTTTCTAATGAGAATGTGTCTGTGGTTCTCAGTAGGTCTGCAAGCCTTCCTGGAGTTGCTATGACAACATGTGGCTTATTACTAAGGGCCAAAGATTGTTTCATTGTATCTATTCCACCAACAACAACAACACTCTTGAGCCCAATAGATTTCCCAAATGCTTCAAACTGTTCAGATATCTGAAAAGCCAGTTCTCTAAAAAATGATAATATAATTATTTTATAATGCTTCACATGAACCCATCACAAAGGTTTTGCAAGGTGTCAATGCAGGGTTGTCAGAATAGGCCAAAGAAATTTTGAAAAACCAAGTCCACAGGAAAATTTTTTATGCACTGTAGAAAATTCATTGACCTATTTTATTTGTTAAAGTCTGTGTTTTTCCACAGAGCATAAGAAAATTATCTGAAACATTAAAAAAGGTTTTTCAATTAAGTTATTATTGGCATCATTACCCATATACATCATCAAATAACAAAGGTTCATAAAGCAGCAGATTTTCGCATTTTGAAAAAAGTTTAATATATCCATGATTTAAGTTGTGGACAAAATTTTGATTCCTAGGATAGAACTCAAAGAATTTCATTATTTACAGATACCAAAAATACTAACATTTAAATAACAAAATTCAAATTTGCTATGATATTTTGTTTGAGTGGTCTATAACACCTTTTCCAGCTTTCTGGTTTTTAGTAAGTAGGTTCTTTGAAGTTAAAATCAAGTTTTAACTTCAAATCAAACGACAGTACAAATTCTTCATGCCCTATTGCTTGCAACAAATTTAGTCACACAAATTGTCAGTTAAAAAGGCTACAAACCCCTTGCGTGTTTTCTAAGTTAAGTTACAAGTGGGGTCTGGTTTTATGGGAAAGTGGTGTGGCTGGTCACCTTGGGTACTTGCTTCAATCGGCAGGGGTTTGTGCTGTCATTTCTTGCAGGATTGGCCCTTTGTTTTCTGTTATTTAAATTGTATTGATGCCTAATTTATATTGTCTATTGTTTGTACTGGAATTTTTAAAAGAAGAAACTGAAACTGAACTGGAATTGAAACCAGTGTTCCAGTCTCTTTATATTAACTCTTAATTTTCTTCATTTCTTTAGTATGGAATCATTGTCTGGGGTCTGACCTAACACACTCATAAAAAACATATATATCTTCAAGAAAATAAAGTTAGAGCCATTGTTTTCAAATATTTTTTTACATCTCTATCTACACTAATTTTCTCTAATCTAAAAAATTCTTAAGTTACATTATTCATTTGACTCATAGATGATTCCAATGCCATTAAAGAATCTCCTGCAGTTTTCACTTTTTGTTGTAATCTCAAATCTCATATATTTTCTTCAAAATACCAAGTTTAAACATTATTAGAACATTTCTACAATTTTCAAATTAACTTGATATGTTACTGCTGTAAAATTTTTGGCTTTTAGCACAGGGGGTGCTCTTTTCCCAGAATGGAATTTTTGCCTTATATCCTCCAGGCACATCAACTTTGAGCCGTGGTTGCAACCATGTTATCGGTAGTTGAATGATTCATCAAGCTGCACTAGATTTTTCTTTTACAATAAAAAATGATCTTGTATACTCGAGGTAATAATATAGTATTATCAAAAGTGATGTTTTTCTCTGAAATGTATACCCAAGTGTTACATTGTATTTTGATGGCAATTAGTCTCAGCTGTCAAACATTTTTGTCCATGTTGTTGAAAAATGGGCAATTTTGAAGGACATGAAACAGCTCCCCAATGCATCTTTCAGTGATTCCAATCTGGTTTTCTCATGATTAGTTATCTATTGAGTGAGCTTCTACACTCTTTTTTTATAAGAACCAGTTAATTTTTGCTGAGCCTCTATGTCCTTATTTTTTTGATAATTTAAGGCTCAAATGTTCTTAAAATTGTTCTTATTTTAATAGTGATTTTTTGCAAATATTTGAGAAGTTACATACTGTATATAATTTCTAAGACGTTTTACTGGGTAAAGTTTAAAAATAAAGCAATGACTGCTAGTGTTTATGGACAAACTCATAAAAGTTTTCTTTGTCAAGAGAATGTTGGTACATCAGTTGAATGCTTGTGAAAATTGTTTTTTATTTCTCATCTGAAGCTGAGCCTGTTCTAGCCTTGTTCTTATTTTTTGGGCAAATCGAGCCTCAGTGTTCTTGTAAAGTGTGTTCTCATAAAAAAGAGTGTATTTAAGAAATTCCCTTTTTACAAATTCCCATCAATTTAGTTTAGTTCTTTTAGAAACCATTATATAATTTTGTTGTTATTGTTATTTTGCAGTCGTTGTTAGATGGAATTTGTATCTAGTTGGAATTTAAGAAATGAAACTTAAACTGGAATTGCTTGGTGCCCTATTCTTACAGGAGACAGCACAGGCAAAAAGTGCTCAGTTTCACAACTGTAGTTAATTTGTTTAAGAAATTATGGAGGCAGTTATTTGACACTGCATCCATCCCCTACCTTGTTGGTGTTAAAACAAGAGCAAAAATGCCGTAAGGATCTTCGGACAGCTTTTGTAGAATTGGTAGAGCAAAGGCTGCTGTTTTTCCACTTCCAGTTTTGGCACAACCAATACAGTTCCTTCCTTTAAGAATCTCAGGAATCGTCTTCTCTTGTATTTCTGTCGGACTCAGTATTCCCATCTCTTTACACTGTTTAATCAACCACTGATTCAGACCAAGGAGCCGAAACTCACGCGACGCTTCCACCGTCGCCATGTTTTTACCAAGTTTTCACAGCCTCGTAATGCCATACCTCGGTTTCATGAGGATGCTATGAAAGAAAATAAAAATTTTGTAAAAAACATGATTAACTTTCATTATGAATAAATTGTGAGTTTTCGTTTGTTTAGGCTTGCAGTCATGGTTTTTCGTTTATATAATGATATGAAATTTTCACTTGTCCTATTCATTTTTGACCATACATGGGTGGCACCATTGGGGGAGCTTGGGGGCTCCAGCCCCCCCTTTTTCGCCAAAAAAGTCTTTAAGAAAATAGAAAGAATAAAAAAAAGAAAAAGCAGGAAAGAAAAGTGCGATAAGTCCTTTTATTGCTTACTTTCCAAGGAATAGGCCGAGGTCTATGGGGCCTCATAAAGTAATGAACTCCATAAAAGCATATCTTAAAATTTTTTTTTCGAAACGATTGCAAGAAAATAACTGCAAGAAATATTCTGAAATGTATTTTTAGCTAATATAAAGGGCGTGGTCGCAAAAATTTTCTGTTCGCTTGGTTAGCAGGTTTCTTCTTTCAGTTATGCATAGGGCCTCCAGCAACCTCTCACCGGCCACTTCAATCTACCGCTAGCATAACGAGTGCCCTATAAAATCATAGCCATAAAATGTCGTGAGCATTTCAGTGCGTTTTTCAGAAGTTGGTTTTTAGTCTAATAATGCTATGAACTCGAACAACCCCCCCAGCTTTGAATTTTTTGGCGCTGCCCCTGCCATAGTTAAAAAGAGAAACACGAAAACTGATTTTTTTTGCTTTTTTTACTTATATTTATTCATCTTGTCAATATAGGTTTTAAATAAAAATAGATCATTTTTAGGTAGTTTTGGTCAGCATCGGTTCAAAATTTTAATAGACCGAGAGATTTAGACCCCGTTTACACTGTCCCGGGACAATTTTGTACCGTTACGGTTCGCAAGTGTTTACACTGTCGCGGTTCCAAATTGTTCCGTTTAGCCGTTCCGTTTACACTGTACCGGTACGACCTTAATTTAATGGTAGAACATTGTTTAGAAGAAGCTGTATTTAGTCAACCAAGGCTTTTATTTTGCCGCTGAAGTCAACAATCGAATTTTTATTGTGAGTTAAACTGGAGCGGAAGGCCGATTAAAACTTTACTTGGACGAAAGACAAGGTGGCTTTAATTTTCAGTGTTATTTTAGACTACAAAACTGCCAAGTCTAATCAAGGCTTGGACTGGGAAACACTACAAGCCTTTTCTGTGGTCGTCTTTTCTTCAGAATTTCCTTTTCTTCAGAATTTGAGAACGTAGTTACGCCACAATCAAAGCCTCGATTAACTGAAACAGCCATACAAAAGACCTCTTTGTGAATCCGTGACAAAATCGTCTCGGATAGGTGTTTACACTGTCCCGTTCAAAAACGGAACCGTGACGGTACAAAATTCGTTCGCTTTCAAAGCAGGGTCAAAACTGTTCCGGATAGCAGAGCAAAATCGTCACGGTTCCACAGTGCTAGTGTAAACGCAAGGGCGAACCGCGACAGTTTTGTCACGGTTCCAAACTTGCACGGGACAGTGTAAACGGGGTCTTAAACTCTCCATACCATATTAACCAACAAGAATTAAAAAATATGACAACAAACGAGCGATGTTGGGCCGGAAAAGGGTTGCTAGTTTGATTTTTCTAATCCAAATTCATTCATTTGGATTTATAAAAATTTGCTTGGCTTTGAAAATATGATTTAGATTTTGCCGAAAATTTGGCTTTTTAATAATAATAATAATAAAGGCATTTATATTGCGCCATTTATCCACACGGCTCAAAGGCGCATTACATAATGTTCATAAAACTAATAGAATGATATAATATACAGTACTACAGTTCGTAACTACAGTTTTTTGGATTTATCTGAAATTTTTTTCAAAATTGGCTGAATATTTAAATTTTTAATCAGCTGTTTCGTTTATTATTTCTCTGACTTAAACTTCTTTGATCTAAGGGGGCACCTTTTTGTCAATTATTTCCTTTTAGAATATCAAGTTTCCTTTGTTAGGGAAAGAGTGAAGAGTCATAAAAACTTTTATCACTATAGCGTAAATTTTAAATGCCAGCCCCATTTTGACGGCCGAATTCCTCCAATCTAGCCGTTTTTCAAAGCTGCTGGCCGTCGAATATTGGGAGCAACTCACATATACTTTTATGATGACTTGGATTGGGTGGAAGATAAGAGACGACCAAGTATGGTTGCTTTGCAGGGGAATTCCTCGATGTTTTCAATAGAAAAGAACTCTGAAAAAAGCTCATTTTTGTTGTGACAGCATTGTGGTGTTTGCATGCATAAAATACTACAAGAACTATTGCGATTATCAACATTGACAAAAAAACTGAAGACACAAAATAGCAACTGACTGAGTATTCTATTTTCCAAAAAATAACATTGTTAAAAAATGCGCAATAAATACAACAAATTTTTAGCGAACGCACAAAAATATATTCAAGAATTAAAACAATCAGACTACCTAAACCTTATGAAAGTGATTCTTATGAGCCACTTGTGCCTACGTGTGATGGGTACTTTTTTAAATGTTTTGTTGGCTGTTTTGAGGACAATAAATATCAGTTCTAATATGGGAAAGATTGCAAATATTCTTAACAAAGACAAAACTTTCCGTTTTTTCTTTTGAGGCAACATTACCTAGTCGACTGGCTCTATAAATTGTCTGACAAAGGTAAATACAACTTCACAAATACTTTTTCCATATCACATTTCAATTACGTATATTCTTAATAGGCCAATAGATTTTCCCCCTAATCATCTGCACAATTTGTAATGTCCTATCAAAATCACAGGCCTAATATTCGCTACAACTACACCCCGTGATAAATAGAACATTTTTCCTTTACCAAACATGCTAGAAGAAATCCTCTTATATGTCAAAGAGACAATAGTAATGGCATAGCACAAAGCAAAACAACGCTCAAATGGCAAAAACAACTATGAGTTAATAAAATGACAATTCTGGTTACAAAAATAGTCTGTCACTAACTTCAATCTTGCACAAAATTCAGGAACACATAAACAGAACAGCTACATGCTCATTATTTTCGTAAAGCCTGTAAGCAGTTAATTACATCTGCTTGAATATTTTCAGATGAGACCGGACATCTGACATGGGTATAAGAAAATGGAGATCCATCTGGGTTATGAACTGTTGTGCAGTTGCACGTCCAGACTTCGAACTGTGTCACCTAAAATATATACAAGAAAATATTGCCATACAAGTCAATTAGATAACAGCACGGAAATATTTTAGCTTCTCTAGACGTCCAAAAAGGTGAATACAAACAACTGTAGGGCAATATTTTATATACTTTGAAAATAATACAACAATTACCTGCAGGGTATGGTCGATTATTTCATCTGATTCAATAATTACACCAGATGGTGGATAGCCTGGTTGAAAAAGATGTCATGAAGAGTCATTGGCAAATTAACATTATAAACAACTTAAATGAAACAAATAAAATAAGATTTTTCTCTTAAACACAATAACTTCCTATCCCAATTTTTCAGTTGGTTATGATAGGGAAAAGCAGAGGAGCTTATATAGTAAAGCCCTAAAAAGGGAAAGGAGAGAGGAATTTGGAAGAGAGGGAGGAAAGATAGAGCTTATTTATTAAGTACTTCTTGGATAGAAAATATCAAATTTATTTAACCTAGAAAAATTGTGCTTGTATTTTAATAAGATATATCAAATAAACAATGTTCCTTAGGGTTAGGGTTAGGACTACCAGGTCCTGTCACCTCCAGAACCTTTGTCACTGCAGAACATTTCTACAACGATACAAGTCAAATTGGTTGTCAAATAAATTTAGCCTTGCCTAAACCTAAAGCTAAGGAAAAGGAACCTTTTAAACTAAAAATTGATAACAAACAAAGTGCTGTATAATCCTACCTTCAGCACATAAATCTTTTGCCAGCTCTTGCATGTTGCTATAAATTATAAAACGCAAGACAAGAACAATTATGAGAACTTATGAGAGGCTTCAATGCTACAAATAACAAGGCATTTAAAGAATGCGTTAAAAGTTGATATAAACTTTTAGAAGTCATCTAGCCAAGATGGATGTTACTAAAACGTAATTTTTTTCCAATTTCTCTGACAGATTATAATAGAAAATTAGAAACTGAAATCTTCAAAGACAGCACAAAGAAGAAAAAATTAACTATATAGCAGAAACACTCTGGACATTCAGGATTGTGAGTGTAGAACCAGCAATAAAAAAAAGAAACACAAAAATATGATAATATGTATATCATTATACTCACTTGGACACTCCAACCTCGCCCCATAGAAATCTTAATGAGTTATTGAAATTGTCACTAGTCCACCTCCAACCTTCCAACAATTTATTTTTTGGAGCTGAAATTGAAAGTCAGTTAACAAATTATAAGGTACGTACTAAGTAAACACTACCTTAAATAAGTACAAAGTGCTAGGAAATATTTTGCCTTGAAAAGTATAATTATAAAGAGTATTTGCCCAGATACTGAAACAAAGCTTTTGTAACAATAACACATTGATTTCATTAAAGACACAAACCAACAACCGTTTGCTGCTTACTCATGAAACCTTCGCCGCCTACTATAACCCTCACTTTAGTAAGACTGCACAAACTTTAGAAAACTTATAGATGCCTGCTTTTAAATGTGAGTCTTCTACTTCAAAAATTAATGAAAATCTAGTTAGCATATTACCAATGCAAATACAGCACATATTTAATATATCAATACAATGAAAAAAACAATGCATTCGAAAACTTGGAAGTTACCTGTAGAAACTGGTATGATGACATTATATGCAGCCAAGGATAAGGCCTATGAAAAATATTATTCAAAACTGAGAAAGCTTTGTAGTTATTAGTAAATCTAAAGTCTGTTCATCAGTAACAACAAATTAAAGTGAGCTGCTTTAAAATTTGCTAGATTTTCACAATCAATCCCATCCATTCAATCCCTTGCATTCGAACATTTCAATTCAGCTTTATGAAGACCCAAACCTGTTCTAATCCATTTTTGTTCATCTTGATCTTTCTCAAGTAATACATTTTAAACTTTCTTTGACTTCATAATTTCTTTCATACTTGAATTTAAGCTTTATTCGGCTGTGATATTTTTGTAGTTTGATTTTTTTTGTCAATCTTCTTTACGGAAGCTCTCATTTAAATATTTTTTTATGAAGAACTTTTATTACCGAATCAAATGAATGAATGATACTTGAATTTATACAGGACAGAAGGAGATTTTCTTTCTGTTCAATATGCTGGGGTTCTCTGTTAATCATTTCATAAGGCAATTTATTTAACTAATTAGTATGTGAATGCTTTGAGTTTGTATCCTGGTACTATTCACCAACTCAAGAAATGTACTTTCAGCCAAGTTGCAATTTAGCACTGAATGATTCAGATCACATATTGTGTTTGTAAATGCTGGCTCTTTCAGCTTAGCTTAGGTCTTTGGGCTAAAGCATATGTTTCTTGCTGCTACAAAAGAACCTGCAAAATGTTTAGGGTGCTCCCTGTATACTTTCCAGCATAATTGTGCCGTTTGGGACATTTGGGAGCTTCCATAAACCTTTCGCCTGGGATGTAAGACTATAAACCCCTAGGTGTGAGAGAGGTTGTACTACCACAGACCACTATGCCAGCACATCAGCACATAATATTAAGAGCTTACTTCACATAAAGTAACAACAACTACCTTGAAAATATCAAGCTTTCTTTTGCTAGAATGGTGATTTGGATTCCTGATATAAAAAATGGCAGGAAATGAATTGCCAAAGACACTTAAATCACGTGGCCTTTCTGGAGAAACCAACCTGAAAAAAATGAATCAAGTGGTTGACAATGCAATCAATAATTTTCAGAGAAAATCTTTGTATAATGGGAATAGTTTCCTTAAGTGAAACTGTATAAAGAAAACTGAATGATAAGACCAAAAGTAATGAATCAATCAGATATCTGTATCAGAGACTACAAGCATACTTTGTTTGATTCACTGATAAGCAATTATGCATTTTTTCTCAAAATTATCATCAAAGTATTTTTTCATAAATCCTCAAATTGGCTCCCTTTGAAAAAGCCCCCCCCTCATATAAGCCCCCATTACTACTGTAAATCCTCAAATTGCCCCCTTGATTTGTTGATTTTTGCCATTTGAGGTGGTGTTATTGAATTACCACAAATATTCCCACTTTTTGTAAAAATTAATTTTTTAAATGTTCATAAAGAAATTCCTGCTAAAATATACCGGTATTTTATTAATGTCTTCTTAATGTCTGCTATTATTTTATAAGTCCCCCCTCGCATAAGCCCCCTCTTCAAATAGCCCCCTATCCAAAATTATTAAAAATAAATAAGCCGTTATGGGGATCCCCTAATTATTAGAGGATTTACAGGCATGGCAGGATAATGCACCTTGTCATAATGCTATTGTCACAAAAAATGTTTAACATGGTCTTTCCTGGACACTGCCTTTATTCAACATCTATGTTATGATTTATAAGATTTGCCCCACCTATTTTCGATGACAATTTTTATTGTGTTTCCTCTATATGAATACAATTTCAGATGACACAACATTAAAAGAAAGTCAATGAGTCAAAAGGAAGTTTAACTGGAATTTTAACATTGAAGTTGAATTGAGGTAAGGGTTTCTCTAAAAGATGATATACATACCAAGCTGGGTTTTTTCCTTTCTTCTCATCAAATAATATAGCCCTGGCATTCTTCATGTTGTATTCAGCTAAACTAAAGTTTGATGTACCTGACAAAGGCAAAATTATTGTTTTGTGATTTCAGATTATACCTTAACTTTTTCAAGCAAACAAGATTCAAGCCAAGCAACATGAATTTGAACAAGCATGGCATGTAACAACAAATGGAACATAACAGAAAAATGTTAGCCCCTCTATCAAATCGAACTCGCAATTCTCCCTTCAATTTTATACTTGCTTAATTGGCAATTCTGTTGCAATATGTATCATGGCATTGCTTTATATTTCAGACCTTTTGTGGAATATAAGCTTATTTGCAGAGCTTTGAATGTGTAACTTAACTGAGAGACCCAACCCAGAAAAATTGAATATCAAAGCCAAATGATGTAGTCTCCTTTTGTATGGCCAAAACCTGGCCATACAAACTCTGAAATCGTAATTACTATGAAAAGATAAACAAATATTTTGTGGTAGAGGGTGATTTGAATAATGGAATGACAAGTTATGAAATACATGATAACTTCTATCAAAATTGGATTTCATTAACCTAATCTGAAAGTACTTTAAGTCTAGATTCTTTTTCATTAGACCACCTTTACAAAATTACTCAAATTAATATTAATTTTTTAGTTGATGCATCAGCATGTTTTATGTAGCAGCACATAAAGAAAATATGGGACATAATTACTAAAGAAAACTTGAAAATATTGCCTCAGATGCTTCTTAAGTTAAAATCTATGTTATTTGCAGTTTCTTGTCATCATTAGAATGCCATATTTCTAAGATTTTTTTGCCTTTAGCCATGGTAGACACTTTTAAAAAACCCATTATAAACTTAACATTTTGGCCCCTTCGGTTTCAAATTACTTTCGCTGGCCAAGATGGAGATATCAAAACATTGCATGAGTGTAGGTTATATTCAGTCGTTCAATTGCAATTCTTTTTCGAATTACCTCTAACAAAACATGTTTTCTAACAAGCACAAAGAAGGCCTTAATTTGGGCTTATGGGCTGCTGACTGATGCAATGTGACGTCATGCTATAAAATAAATGTCCAATTAGAAGGTTTCTTCTATTTACTGGAACTTTTTGGCAACTTCCAGTGGGCATTGCTATGTAAAGAATTTTTAAAACTCAAATTTTTTCAGAGAATGATGTAACTTACCATAAAAGTGCAGATCACTTATTGGCCAAAACAAAAGAAATACTAATAACACAAGAAGAATTGTTGGCTTCCAAATAAAATAGCAACATCTTTCCTTTATCTGAACTGTCAACGACTTCTCCCTGAAAGACATAATAAGGATGCAAACTTTAAAATATCAAAATCACATTTGAAAAATAATTACAACTTTGCAGCTCTTTTAAAAAATAAACCCTGTGGGCACTATGTCCATTGCATTGCGTACCCCATATGTGCACCCCTGAAGCCTTCATTAGGATCTAATGCTGTTTGCATCCTTACAAAAAATTTCTTGCATGTCTTATATATATCACAGGACTTGGTCATTTGAGTAGAAAAAATAGCATCATTCCTAATCTTGTGAATATCAAAAAAATGAAGCCAAGGTTCTAAAATTTACCAACCTCCACCCTTCATATTTTCAACTTAAGCCCTTACCAAATGCCACCACATTTTACAATCTTTTACAAAATTTGATTTCAACCAAACATGTAGTAAAAATCTCTTTTGTTCTCAAGTTTGATTAACAATGTTGTGCTTGTTTTGCCACAAGATTGATTCGTTTGACCAGGCCTTTACACAAACTACAACTAAAACCTTTTTACAACTTCAGAACTTCAGTTGGGGGAGGGGCATATAATAAAGTAATAAGATCTATTTACAATGCAAATAAGCTACTATTCCAGCTACTTGTATGGAATCAATGCCTGTAAGTTTATCAAAGAAAAATGTCCACCTGTCCTTGATTCATGTAAAATATTTTTTCACATTTTTGCAAAAATCTTTAAAAAACTTTTTTAACAATTGTACCTGAGGGTGTTTCCTTTGTTCTCTGAGAGATTGTAGGGCGTGGCCAAAGAAAATTTTCTTAAGGGGGTCCAGTTTTGTCAATCACCCTTGGGCCCGAGCTGCCTATCAATGGCCATTGCTAGAGACCAAGCCTTGTGAGGAGCAAAAAGCAGGCGCTTAAAAAACTGAGCACCTGCAACTTTCTAGGCCCTCAATTGAGCAGCATCAATAACAAAAGCTTGTTTTTCACATTTAGTTTTGAGACAGCACAAACACACTAGGTGCTCAATCAATCAAGCTCCTAGAGCTTTATAGGCACATGTAGAGGTGCTTGATTGAGCTTGAGTGCCTTTCCCCCCTTGCAGGGCCTGCTAGAGACGACAGTTTAATCAAACATGTTAGGATGCATCAAGCCAGGATTTTGGGTTTTTAGACCTGTGAATAACTCCAAGAGTGTTTATCTGGTGGATTGGGTCCAGCATGAAGCACTCTTGATTCATCCTGTTTGGATTAAAACTTAAATATTGATAGCCTGCTTTGGCCAGAGGCAGAAAGTTTATTATATATCACGTTATACATTGAACATGACATACATAACTTCATACTTACTGGCTATACATATCAACAGATGCTCTTGTTCTTCTCTCTCTCTTAGGAGGCCAAATATTAGCAAAGGCAGAAAATATAATCAAAACTCTCGAGACTATAGTTTCTTTCAATAGTTGTAACATGTGGAAAATTGTAGAGATCAGTCTATAGAACCACTGATTTGATTGGTGTTTTCCATATAGACTCCACCTATTCAGATACCATTGCCGTCTCCAGTCATGGAACTGGCTCCATCTGGCATGGTTCAGTTGCACACCTGAATCATAATTTAGGTTTTTTCCAGCAAATGATTTTTCCCTCATGTTGGAAAAGTCTGTCTGGTCTCTAACTTCTGAAATATCTTCAGAAATTAGTGAGCTATACATAATTGGTTTTGACAAATCCTGGAAGACATTATCTTCAAAGCTTTCATTACATCTCTTCTCGGGGCTCCTCTGCATGTATTTATGATCTGTTGTAGTTTCGAATTCGTTTCTACAACTTGCATTTGTTTGAATTCTAGTAAAACTAGATTCTCTAACAACAATTTCATCATGAGAGTTTGTTTCATGATGGGTCATTGTCTTTCCAGAAATCACGAAACTTGCATCAGAATTCACATTTCGATTGACAAATGAATCTCTATTAACAGGAGTCGATGTAATAAACTCATTTTTCGTTTCATAAAATCGTGTTTTTGTTACGCCCCCATCGAACTTCTCGTTCTTGGACTTCCGGGCATTACTTCTCAGAACAGCCATTTCTTGCTGTTGCATGTGGCTTTCGTTTCTCATAAGCCCGAAATTGCTGGTAATCAAAGAGGCCTCGGTTGTTTTATTGATTACTTCGGAAGTGATTTCTTCCTTTAGGCGTTCAGATCGTCGTGTTCTTCTTTGCCTTGGAGCATCCATGGCTAAGTTAGGCCTATCTCTCTCTCTCCCAGTCAGAATGGTATTTCCCGCCTCGGTATCACCAGGGGGATTCTTTCTGGGCGAACTACCCCTATCCCTATGACCCGTTGTGTCAGGATCAAGTATGTCAAATATGATGCCATTCTTCGCTACCAAAATGGACTGATCGACCTCAACAACCTTGCCATCTCGCAGCAACATACGCGACGTTGGAAGGGATTCGTATAGTTTCCCATCTCGAAGTTTCATCGGCATCGCGACGCGAAAAAAGCGGCAACTCTATTTAAAATTGCTCTCGCTGTATACCAGTTTTGCTTCACCTTTGTTGTTTGATCATTGAAAGAATAATACTACATCCAAAATGAACTTTCCTCTAGGTTGAAAAGTGTCACCAACTACACACGACTTTCGATTCGTTGAATCACAATCGTATTATTGCTTCCATTAATCATTCGGATGATAGGACACAGAAGTCTTTAGATCCCTTTTGAAGCTTAGAATGGATCCCGGTGTTTTGAACAAATCCCCGTTCAGAAAACAAAACTCCGATCATAACAGCAGGAAATGCAATACCTGTAGCAGATTCTTATTTTTCTGTTGAGATATGCAATCATGAGCGAAACTAGGCGAACAATCTGCAAAGGTAAAAACTCCAAAATTTTCGAAAAGAAGGGTTTGGGTAGGGTAAACATAAATTAACGCCCTGGGTTACAGTAAAGTAACGAGTCTACTCTGACTGAGCTAAGAGAAAGATTTGACACATAAAGAAGTTTTGCAAGAATTTTTTCTGCAAAAATTTCAAAATACGTGTCGCTAAAAACTAGGCACGACAGCCATCAAAATATCATTACAGTGTTTGCTCATTAAAAATATCTACTAAAATTAAGATTCCAATATTTTATACCATTATCATTTTAATTAAGTCTAACATGGGTGTTTCCATTGGAGGTCTAGACGGTGCAATAAGATCAGCATTGAAGTAAGAAGTGGTGGATTTGAGGAGCAATGATTTTGGAGAGGGTACTAGCCAAAAACTTGGATTTGGTGACATTCCCCCAGCTAGAAAATGATGGAAACACCCATTTTACACCTTTATTGTTAAGATAATGAAAATAAGAAAATAAGTAGAGTAAACACCTTTTTACCAAATCAAAGCAAAATTACTGAATGAAGCAAAAATATTGGGGGAGGATATATCGCATCCCCAACACTTGGTAAGTCCGTCCTTGAACAAAGCATTAACTAAAGGGTGTTTTAGAGAGCAAAGACGTTACATTGAGGATCGCCGAAAACGTTGCTATGCAAAACTCTTAACGGTAACGGCTCTAATCGTCTATTTGTTCTGCTACTTTAGTTACACTATCTTGAAAATTTTCTTTCTTTTTTATAACGCATATAGCAGTTACTTGTTTTGTGTTTTTGTAAATCTGATAAGGGTTTGCGGATAAATGACATGATGAAATGAAGGAAATGTTACTAAAACAATTTGTGAATTGTGATGTAAAGCAGCACTTTAAAATTATGAGATTTCTATGGTTGCTTTCTTGGTGCGTAAAAACAGCTTCTAGCAAAACCTCTATCTTGTGTGTTTCTTCCTTGAACTCGTAGGGCTCCATCTGTTCAGGTACCATTGTCGTCTTCGACCATGAAACCAGGTCCATTTCGCATGATCATACCAATCGGGCCAGTCTGAAAGCCACCTCTTTTCGTGTTGGCAAAGGGATTCATCTTTGGACGAGCTGTCAGGCTTATCTCCACCGTGCTCGAAGATAATTGATTTTGAAAGATCTGGGAATGCATAACATTCCAAACTGCACTCGTGGCTGTTAGCTTTCACAAATTGCTTTCTGTTTCTTGGGGTGTTACCTTTATTGACGGTTAAATTTCTCCCAGTTACCACGAAACTTTGGTAATCTCCAGTTTGCTCCGGTGTTAATGCCCCGTCCGGCAGGCTGGAAGTTAGGTCTTCAACATCTGGTCCATGTTTGTTTGGAGTTGAAGTAACGAACTTTCTATTTGCACCAAATGCTGGTTTCTCTACACTCGTTGCTCTAGAGTTGCTGGAAATTATTGCCTTGATGTCTTTTTCAGATATCAAACGCTTTGATTTGTTACTATCCCTGTGCGTACCACGATCGATATAGATGGGTCTATGGGAGATAACAACTTTTCCATTCCTCAACCTCATGTAGCGATTATTAGAAAAGAAATGATGGAGCTTCCCATTTCCTCGTTTGAAAGTCATTTCCATATAGATCTACCAGCAAAGTTTTTAGTTTTTCCTATTTCCGATAGACTAATCAATTGATCATCAATTCTCGAATCACTGACAGATACCATCAGAAACTGCAAAATATTCATGTAAACACAAATGTTGTTTTAGTTATAGGAATACCTATGTCTCTTTTACTTTTTGTCTTTGCACAACATGTAGAATTTTTCCATTTATAAACATGCATAGGTTTCGAAACAATTTTTCTAAGAAAATTTTTAAAGGTATTATTTAACACAAAGATGGCAGATTAGCTTCAGAATTCTAACATCAGGAATTTCATAGAGTCCTTTTATTGAGATCAAAGTACAAAATGGCAAAAATATTCAAGCAAATTCCAACCAGGCGAAGACTTGAATGAAACCACATGTAACCATCAATGGCCCTGAGGAACACTTTCCGTGTGAACGAGGTAGCGCAAACGAGGTTGTACAAAATTTGGCGCTAAAACATTTTTTTGTGAACTAAAGTCATTCAGCGAATTACAGTATCATGTTTGGCGAGAAGGCGCTCGAGCTTATTAAGCAGCTAAAAAGAGCTCGGGATGGGACATTACCACCTTTCGACGTAAGAAATTTATGTTATAATGTCTGTTTAATTTTTTACCAACAAAAGCTGTGAAAGACATGATGATTAGGCAGAGTCCACATAATAATGTCAATCATCCCTCCGGCCAACCTGCGGAGATTTTAAAACCAGCAAAGAAAACAAAATGTCACACTAGTATGGTAGCTGAAATTATTTTCCTTCTATTGGCAGTTTTCCACGTTAGTTAGCAGTGCGGCTTCGACCGTGCTATTGTTTTTAAAAAAAATTTCACAAGCGCCTCAGGTTTTGTATCTGATCTTTTATAATTCACTAGTATGATTATAGTAAATCACAGGATTTGGGAACTGGCTAAAAATGTGAAGGTCCAAATTCAAGGTTAGATGTTTTGATTTTGGCTAAACAAAACTGCAAGCAGTTTGAGTTTATGGGTTGCAAATGGCACCATAATCAGCTGTGAGCAGAATGTTGTGGTTTTCCCTACAGGCACCATGCATGTCTTTTTCAAGCTATAAGTTTAGGCCCTCAAACTTTGAGAAAAATAATTATTTTACGCCATACTAATGCTTTTTTCTGACACTCTTCAGAGTTTAAAATGTCAGAATATGGTCCCAAAAGGACCGGAAAGAACGTTTATACCCAGTTATGGATCGAAATAGGCCAATCAGAAAATCATGACCACATGACCAGTATAGTTACCCAATCGGTACTGCAGGCCTATAGAAAAATTACCACTGGAGTCCAAGGGTCAAAGCAATCTTTGTCTACAAAATAGAGGCTTTTTCATTTTAATGTGGGTTTATTTCAAAAACTGATAGATCAAAATGTGACTAGGATCTGCCAATTATCTGAAAATTTTCATCATTATAGTTTTTGGCACAATCCGGGTTGTCTAAAAGATGTTGTCTGATGGCAGCATAACCTGTTTGGCAATGTTCTTTGAATTACAAGATCGAGGAGGTTGTTCTCTTGGAGGGGCAATTTTGTTTCTTATATTGGAAGGAAACATGCTGTTTATCCTATTCCTCAGACTTTAGGTTAAGAGTCCTACATAGCCAAAGTCACACTAGCACATAAATTCATAAATGATGGAACTCTTTTGGATGGTAGCAATTCAATTCTTTTAATGGATGGAAAGACTCTCTGTTAAAGTTAACATAGAAGCATTGACAGCAAAGAAACATTTTGTGATGGCCTGTTTAATCTGACTGAATGTTCATTCGAAATTTTTATTTGATGGCTTGTCTCACAAACAAGAGTATACATGTTCAAACTAGTGATATTTGTGATAGGCTTAATGTTGCAATTCCTTATTACTTTTCAATCACTCTGGGTTTAACAAGATGTAATTTGCAAAATGTAGTGTCACCTTAAAGTTAGTTCCCCCCCCCCTATTGCAAATATTTGTTGGGTACCTCTGAACCCAAGCGTTACAAAATGTATTTTTGGAAATTGTTACTTGATCAGGCCTTTTGGTAAGAAATAGCCTAACAAGTGGACCAGCTCTTGCATCATTTCATTTGCTCAAACAATCCATAAATTTGGAAAGTTTCTAGTTGAATTTCCTTTCACAGTCATTATTGGGATGAGATTTTACTGTTGATCTGGATGTGCTGATCATCTCAAAATGTTATAACAAACCTTCTTTACCAGGGGCGGCGGGGAGCAATAATAAATTGCTATTAATCGCGAGCGAAGCGAGTGAACAACGTGGGTCCGGGGGCCACGCCCTTTAAAAGGGCGGAAACGCCCATCCTTTACAAGAGGGATACAGATATAAAGTTATCACTGCTCCTAAATGATGGTCTATTTTCCAAAACTACGCTCGTTTCTGAAAAATCCACAAAAATTTCTATTAAGATACGAAATATTTTGAAAAAAAGAAAACATTTCGTCTAAGCTCAAACATTATTGTTGTTTTTATTTTATTTTTACAACAAACGTGTATCGCAAATTGATCATTTTTTCAAGCACATCTATGAAAAAAATTGCAGTTATTTTCTTGAACTTATCCGTTCCTTGTCTAGGAAAACTCGCAACTCTTGACTGTAGTTCCCTAACAAGTCCATCAATTCAATGAAATTTCCCCTGTTTGGAGAGAATTTGTCTTCAGAATGCCCCCGGAAAGCGAGTCCTTGGGCAGACAAGTAGACTGCAACATCAATATGGTGCTTCATCATCTTTGAATATCTTGATGCATTTTCATTATGTCTCAGAATTTCTCTCTGTCTTGCTTCATCAAGTGCACTGGCCACATCCACATTCCCTAAAAGCTTGTACGAAGCGTGACATGTCATGTGACTTTTTGATTCTTGGTGCCTGTTAGCAACATTCGACAAATTCCTGCCATCAGATGCAAATCCAGTTGGTTGCACGAAGCAAGCCTTCATCTGAAATAAATTATGTGAATAAATTGATAAAAATTCTTCTATTATCACCCACATTTTTATAAAAGTTACAGTGGAGTTGCAACCTTGTTTTTTATATTTAGCTCGATTTTAGCATCAAACTGCTCTTAATTTCAAATAGTTGTTTGTAGAAATCGAGGAGCGTATCACCTTCGTACACCTTTGGCAAAAATACTAATGTTTTAAAAAATCTCGGACGCCTTTTGGGAAGAGTGATACACCCCTTGGTATCTTGGTAGTAATGGAAACAATTACAGCAAATGTAGTCTTTACCTAAACGCCTAAACGATATTAACTATGCCTAAACCTAAACATTAAGTTATAGATGGTCAGTTTCGTAAACTTGAGCATAAGTAATACTAAAATGGCTTCTTGTAGGGACTATGACAGGGACATCTGATCAATCGGTGTCTTGTGAATGTGTGTTCATGAAAATGCCACAATTCCTTGCGTTTGTAAAAGGTGGCTACATATGCAGGGCTGTTTAGACTACCGCGGCTCTCCGCCGCTCGTTAAAAGCCCTGCTATTCATCTTCAATTTGTAATAGCAAAGCCGCTATAAACGAGACTTTCCGACGAGAGAAAATAGTAAATAGAAAATAGTAATCTTCTTACCTTCAAATGATCTCCCATGACTAAACATGGCCAGCAGAAATATGTATTATTCTCTGAATCACCACATATCCAAGAAAAACCTCTATACACAGCTTCACACGAACGACTTTTAACTTTAACATCGGGGCATGGGCGTCCGTCTTTTTTAAGACGAAGGCGCTGTTCATGAGTTAATTTACCTCCTTGCATAGATATGAGGGAAAAGACAGTTGAAACACCCCATCGTACACCACCTGACGCTACTTGATTCATTTTGTATCTGAAAAGGTCTCTACTCTCTTCCCAACGTTTATCGAACTGACGATTTGTATGCGTGATCGCGTGTGAGCTCTTGCTATTCATTCCAAGAATTTAATAGCAAGGCTGTCAGATATGCGTATTTCACAATAGCCCGTTGCGTCACACCATAGCCACACTATGGCGCAACTCCTATTAGTTTCCTCCGTTTGCTATTCAGAAGGGCCAAGTAATAGCATGGCCATCGACGGCCACAGCGTGGATCAGAAAGGTATACACGCGGCATTCTTTGAATAGATTAAGTCGGGCAATCGCAATATCAAAAAGCACAGAGGGGTCAAATAAATCATGGAATGAAGGAACTGGATAAGGAAATCAAGATCCAGAAAAGATTTTACTCGTATAATTTATGTTACATTAATTTGTCTAATACAAAAGCAGAACATTTCTTTGGAAAAAAATTGCTATTAATGAAATAGCATAAATAGCACTGTCCGCCGCCTCTGTTCTTTACTGTCCAGACAGTGTTTACATATGATAGGGAATAATGATGTTCAAATAGCAGACCTCTATTGTATTTACAAAAGTAGTAGCTGATATCTATTTTCATCTTCCACTGGGACATTGCTGATTCTGACTACTGCTGTTTCCTTATGTTTTGTTTTGGGTTTAGTATCACTAAATTGAACAAAGTGATTTTTCAAATTATACAAGTTATATTGAATCTTGGAAAATAGTTTGGGAATAATTTCACCTTAGATTTACCTTACTATGTTGGGAATTTTACTTCAATCAAAAAAGGTTATCCAACGTGGCAGTAATTTTACATTTTTAATGTCTGAAAAATTGTCTGTGTCTGTGACTATACAATATCATATAAGATGTAAGGGTTTTTAGCAATTAGCAGTTTTGGTTTGCTAAAAGGTTAGAGTTGTCAAAAGGTTTGACAGCCACAAACACAATCATTCTTCGATTGTAAAGTTGATCTTTTTTGTCTAAATGCAAAAGCGGAAACTGTTCTTCTTCAGTATAATAAATTCGAATTTCTTAAAAGTTGTATTTCAAACCTACTACAATTTGCTTCCAAGGGACAATATATTATAACATCAAAAAATGCCAACTTTATCATACATTTGGTTCCCACTCCACTATTTACGTACATCTGAGAACAAAGACTCTTATTCAGTGGATGACACCTGGGGGGGGCAAGTGGGGGCAGCTATCCTTCATGTTTTGGAAGACAATGGTATTCGGTTCTAAAACAATGGAAAAGTGTGATGTCACCTTATCAAAATAATGGGCTAACCTCCCCAATATTTGCCTGAGTTTCCACAAACTGCTCTCATTCTCGGGCAGACAACACATTGGTCTGATCAATTTGAGTTTTAAAAGAAATAATTTTTAGCAATTTACCTATGGATATTCAAAGCACAATTTGAGGCAAAAATGGGTTTGTGAAAAAGTCAAAATCTGAATCATTCACAGGTTCAAAAATAAAACAACTAGAGCATTAAATTTACTTTTGTTAGAGAAAAAAAAAGAAATCAATTGTATATCAAGTGCAATATAGGCATTTTTCTACTATTTATGGCATACAACAGATCTACAGCTAATAAGCAGCAGTATTTTATTCAAGAACATGATAACAATTTCAAACACAATAAATTTATTATGATTATTTATTATGATTTCCAAACACAAAACTTGGTCTGGCCCTAAATAAAACAGATGTCACTTGCCCACAAACATGTTGTTAGCTTTCCAACATTTTAGTTTGCTGTTTGTAATAACATGCAACCATTACTGTTTACAGCTAGTTCAGGGTCACCCGGGTGCCTAAAACCAAACATGAAAAATGGTTCCCTTACACTTTTTGCAAAAATACAAAATGAACATCTTTTATAACTTTTTAAGAATAAGCTACTATGAATAAATTTGTTACTCTTCTTTGCAACAACCTTGGTGATAACTGAAAGAACTTAATCTTCTTTATCATTTTAATGTTCAAGTTTTATATTTCTGCCACCATCCTTAAACACACACATCATAACAGTTCATTTTGGGCTTTGTTTCAGGACAAGCATTGACAGCATTGAGATTTGAAACTACACAAAAATATCAATATTTTATAAAGAAACCACAGCATGTACTTTTTTATTTATACTTTCCAACTTTTTTTGGTTTCATATGCATGCAGACTGTCATTGTCAATAACTTCCATGTCAACCTCTCCATTGACAGCTTGAATAGCAGCTTCTGCCACAGTGTCTAAACTGATAGACCTAGCTGGTACAAAATAATCTAACAATTTCCCTCCTGGTATATTTTTGAATATTTTCTCGTTCATTTGAAAAGCTATATCTACACCGACTTTCAAAGGAATTGACCATGACCTTTCAGAGAAGCTGGTGATAAATCCTGGCCGAATAATGGTGGAAGAAACATTCGTGAGATTGCTCAACAAGAAATCCTCGGCTTCACGTTTGTATTTCAAATAATCGTCGATAAATGGTGGTCCTTTCTCGCTGGAGATCATCACAAAACGTTTACCCTCCTCCTGCGCCGCAAGGCTGTCAAAGAGTTCTGCAACCTTTATGCAGCTATCACGATTAAGGGACTGGTGGCTTCCAGGATCCGAGCCTGTTCCTTTGCCAACCAATGTTCCTACAGCATGAATAACACCATCGCAATCCTTTAACACATCTGCAAATGCATTTGGTTCAAGGCAATTGCCTCTCAAAATTTTTATTTGTGAAAGTTTCCCAATAGTTTCATCCCGCGGTTGACCAGACCGACTAAGAGCGTATAACTGGTAATGTGGAAATCTTGCTGCAAGGCTTTTGAGGATAAAACTACCCACATAGCCACTGCCCCCAGTAACTAGAACTGCTTTTGATAATTTGTTCATGCTCTTGCTGCTAACGAAGGTCCTTATCTATCCTTATGCTCTTATGCAACAATGTTTAGGCCTTTCATGGGAAAGAGGCTATAAAATTGCCAGTCAAGACGAACCAACGATATGAACAATGTCCCCATGAACGAGCCCGCACCTGTAGGACATTTAAAACACACAGGGAAAATTTCAAATTTACAGATTTTCGTCTAGGGGAGTCACTCAAGCTTTTTCTACACAGGGAGGTCCATCCGCAGTTATCGAAATTTAATTAAAAGTATCAAAAACAAATTTAACAGACCCAGCATTATCAGCTGAAAATTGTTGATAAGGTCCAAAAATATCAAAATTTAAGATCTTGTTGTGAGCACATAACAAACTACTCATAGTACTTTAGACCATTTCCTATAACAACCAGTTTAGATGCATTATTCTTTTATTCCCTTTTTTATACTGTATGTGTTAGTTGAACCCATAAGTAAAAAGGTGCATTGTTAAATCAGGTACTCAAAAGTATCAGGTCACAAGAAAAATTCTTACCCATAATTATCGGATGGACCCCCTGTATATAGAAAGTTCAACTGACCCCCTGGGGATTTTCGACGCAGTCTAATCATGGCAAATAAAAAACTTGCGGCATGGTCAACAAATTAAACCTTAGTTGACTTTCTCCATGAAGAGAAACACTACGATCTTTTTTCATAAGAAGCAGGTAATTTTTGCCGAGGCTGCATAAACTTTCCTTGTGGATGACTTGAATACTTGGTCGTACCCTGGGTCGTAACAGCAAAAAATGTGAGCTGCGGCTGCGAAGGAGAGAGCTCTCATGTTTTGCTGCCATTCTGACTTTTTTGCTGCCGTTAATTTTTACGGCACTGGTACCCAGGCTTACCCAGGCTAGCTTGGGCGTCGAGTTTTGACAAGGGAGAGAACAAACAGACCAAAAATCGTAAAGGGGCTATGCCTATACTTGTGCTGTGCCATTTTTGTAGAAGAAGACCATGTGTATCATTCATTACCTAGGTACACCAACATTACCTAGGCATAACCCAACTTTGGGCTTGTCGTAACCCAAGTTTCGAGATTCTGAGTTTAAAGTTTATCATCTATTGCTCCAATGTATTGAACTTCAAAGCTGTTTTAATATCGGTAAAAAATTCATGCATAAAGGTTTAAGATTTCACTGAAGCAGTTTGGCCACGCTGTATTGTTGCCAAAAGTCACACTTAAATGTCGGCCAATTTAGGGATCTGCACATCCCCGCCAGTCAGCAATTTTCTTTAGCTTCGCCCCTGCCCAGGTTCAGTTACATAGCAGCTAAAATATCCTTGCTCATATTTTCAATAAAGTCTATTGATAGAATTTCAAGTTTCAAACAGAAAACCAACTGTAAAATCTGTAGCAAATTTAAACGGCGTTGGGTCTCTCTTAAGCTCTTTCTAGAGGAGGCCATGGCTTTTTCCCTCGCTCTTCCTGCTAAACGCTACGTTTGAGTTTCAGTTCATGAATTTCAAAATTTTTCTGCAGCAGCATTTAATAAGTTCAATTTCAACTTCTAGGAGGATGTTATCAGACAGGCACTTGAGGAAATGAGGGTGCTTTTCGAAGAAAATTCAAAAGAAGTGTAAGTCGCAAACAAAGTTTACCTTTACGGAAAGCTGGAACTGAATAATGCATATTCAAGGGTTAAGGGAGGGGTCGTTTGTTGCAGTAACTGTAATGGTTCTGCACCCTTTTTGTGACATTTTTATGTTTCTTTTAATAACATTACGGTAAAATAAACCCGCTTACTACAGTGTTCCATTTTAACAAAGCTTTTACAGAATAGAGTAAATATACTGTGTATATTGTTCCCATATAATGTGGAAAAATTGAAAGCAATGCATAACTACTGGATTTGCAGGTAAATTTGCTATCAAGAAGTTTTAGCGATAATTAAAAAGATAGTGATTACAAAGTGATTACAAAATGATTCAATGTTTCCTTGCGTGATTCAATATGATTCAATATTTGCTACTTCATCTTTAGCATGTAATTTAGAGTAATTCTTAGCGAGTGGGATTTGCTTCTTTTACTTTTAGTTTCTTTGTTTGATAGGAATGCAGCCGTGGATGGAGAACAAGGACTATTTTCTGGTGTTCAACTCAGGCATGCCAGTCTTGAGAGAAACAAGCGATGCATTTTAGCATATATGTAAGTATGCTTTCCCTCGATGTATGTTTTCAATAGATATCTAGCCATAGAGTGGATAAAGACCTGCAATACCCTCTATTCTCTACCTGTCTCAATATTTAGTATATTTTTCATCAAATCATGTTTTTCCCAAATTGGCAATTCAAATTGCTAGTGCTTGAAATTTCCATCTCAGATTTGAATATTTTCTGCAACTGATAGATGACTCTATTTGTCATTTTATTGCATTGATAAAACGCAACATCCACCCAGAATAGTGCGTGGTCTTTAAAATCCCACTTTTTGTGTCCCCAATGAATGCATTCTTCAAAACTTTAAATCCTTGAACGGTCCTTTCCTCGTATAAGCCCCCCTCGAATAACTCCCCACCCTCGAAGTAAATATTTTCCTTAAGCCCCTATTACCGAATATTCCCCAGTCCTCATATGCAAATTTTTCGTATTTTAATAAGCCCAATGGGGGCTTCATCGGGATACAACAGACAATACACCATTTTGGCCCATGATCCAATAATGCAATCAGCGGAGACAGTGAAAATAGCAATATATAAGACTAAAATGTCTTACTGGGCTTTGATTTATATTTGTGTTGATTTTATTTATCGAATTTATGTATTCCTTAACCTAACCTTTTTTGAAACTTTATCCACAGATACCATCGAATGATGAAAATAAGAAATTTTAGGTGGGATGTTGGTAGTGTATTGCCGAACAACATCAAACTTAATTTATGTGAGCAAGAGGTGCGTTATTTTTAATTTTCTTTTTTCAATAATTTTTTTTCTATTCAATTTTTTTGAATTGGTAATGAATTTATGTTCAATTTATAATAATCATTTCTCATTTTTAGACTCAATGGTTTAATAAGTATAACAAATCGATTGCAAATTACATGAAGTCAATAGGTGGTATCGGGTTCGATTTAACACAGGTATTTTCCTAAATATTTGCTTTTTTTAGTATAGATCTGCTTGTTTCTCATTTTTTGGGCCGTGCTCTTCTAAACATCAAGGTTATTTAGACTTTAAAGTTTTGTGTCTAAATTCATTTTCATCAAATTTTAGCATCTGAAACCTCCAAAGATGCTATATATAGAGGTTAGTATTGTTTATTCCATCAACTTTTGAAAAAGATATAAATTTCCCATCACATTAAGCGACAGTTGCCTGATGACCTCATTAAGCGTCAAACTCTAACAGCTTAAAGCCGTCCTGTTCTATACACCAAATAACGTGTACATCTCTTCCTAAACGGCATCGAGTACTTTATGGCAGACTGGTAAACAGTAATTTTCATTAAATGTCCCATCATGTAGGATAGTCAAAGTGAATTGAGCTTCTTACTTTGATCATCTGTGTATGTAATTCGATATGCTGGATATCCAGTAATAAAAAAGAGTGAATGCGTTTGATGAATTTCTCTTGATGTAGAAAGGTCCTTTATGAATAGATATGATAGGCTGATTTGACCTATTTAAGAGAGATCAAGCTTGTAGGTGATTGTCAGACAAACTCCAACAGACTTCAATTTTCACGTAACCAGGGGTTCAAAAATTGCGCACCGCCCGTCATCAACTTTGTTAGAGGAGAGGCGGTTCTGAGAATTTCATTCTTTGCTTTCCTTTAAGGTACGTTGTCTAACAGACTATGGTGAATTTGAGACTGATGATGGAACAGTGATTCTACTAAAAAAGAACAGCCAGGTTTGTAAGTTGTAGCTTGTAAGTAGTGTGTAGAAGACTGTAACGTCATAACTTCTTGAGTTGTATATACTCAGTTCTTATGGTGAGGGATATGAGTAACGAGGTGTTACCGTGCTTTAGTGTGTGGGCTGTAGGCTGTTACAATGCAAAATATGAAGGTAACTATCTGTTACTGTCCCTTCATTTCCATGCTCGTTTGTGAATATAGCGAATTATCGCCATAACCTTGCGTAGATGAATTTGGAAATCAATAAATATAAAAAGGCTGTTTGGGTGTATTAGTCGAACATTCACAGGTCTCATTTTAAAGTATCGTGATAAGGTGAATAACGATATATGAATTTGCAAAAAGCAATATCGATAAGGACTCAATGCCATAGATGATAAGTAGGTGATGTGTGTCTAATTTGTGTAGTGTTAACTGCAACCATCAATGATGTTTGCAAAATGTGCCAAGAAAATCGCTCTCTGGATTCATAAAAAATCTGAAAGCATCAGTAAGACCCTTCATAGCGAGGTATTAAGAATGTTGTCGTGTAAACAACTCTATGTTGTCATGAAAACATGGAAGTTGTCTCTACGTTTTGAGCCTTCTAGAAAGTGAGCCTTCATTTTACACGGGATCAGTGGACATGTTTCAATGTCAACCAAATGTAAAGCACACATCGTTACAATTCTTGCATCATCCTTTCTGTAACCAGCAGTGATCTCCACTACAAAGAAGTTTCTCGTTAATGAAAGGTATTTTGAATTGCTACTTCACATTGCTAATTTGAAAATGCCTGTTAACAAGCAGTCTTTGGCACCGTCTGCAGTGCTTGAAAGACCAAGTTGGCAAAATGCTATGGCTTTTTCGAAGCAAGATATTTTTTGCGATACTCAAGAGTCAGATTATCGATATCCGTAAAGGAAATGGGTTCTCTCGTTGCACTAAAATAAAGAGACAATTTTTCATGTCATTTAAGTTAACATGATTGTACGATGCTAGAAGAGGACGCTTTGATTTGAAACATCATGAGAAAAGTAAATATTCAAGAAAGCAACACTCGTATAGGGATGCAACACTCGTATAGGGATAGAAAGAAGAGAGAAACGCTGAAATCGAGATGCATCGCTTCACTTATGTTGGGCAAATTTGATGTGACACAGGAACAATGTTGATGCGACAACATTGACGAGTTACCATTCATGAAGAATTTTAAACCATCGTGCTACTTCAAAGAAAATAGAGAGTGTACGAATTTCAAACCTAAAAATCATGGAAATATTACATCAATACCAGCATTGCAGTTAAATCTTCCACAAAAGAGATTGTTCAACTCTTATTGAAGGTGAACTGGAGACTCTCGTATCATAGAAGCACGTGTTAGAGATAATCTTTACCTCTAAGGTTACTCAGATGATGATAAGAAATTCATATGAAGAATTACTGACAATGCTTCTGATAAAAAAACTGTGAATGCTCGTCTGCGACCACATTTAAACTTCGATTTGAAGTTTAAAACGGCTCTGTAAAGGTTTTTGCCACTCACAGAGGATAACGTAAAGCTCCACAGCAAGAGGGTATGCAGCCTTTGCAGTTGCAGTTTGGAAACCATAAGAAAGGCTAATAACGCCTGTGCACCAGAAAAGCTCTAGCCAATGCCTTCCCCAAGGCTGCCAGGAAGAAATTCAAGCAGAGGTTGTCTCGCATCTTGTTTCTTCAGTGAACGGAAAGCTCTATAGTGCTATATGGAGAAAAAAGAGTCACAATTAAAGCAGTGATGCTTTTTATGAAAGGAGTGATTACATATTTGTCTTCTTCTGTAGTATGAAATCGTCAATATAAAGAGGATACTGGTAACATAAGCGTGATTGTAAAGTGGATGTCGAAAAGCCGTTTGACAATGAGTCTTTAAGCTAAAGAATCACTGAATTGATGTATAACTCAAGTATAAAGTCGTCAGTATAAGAAAGTTAGTTATTATCTAAACACGATTCTCAAATGCATGTTGAAAAGCTTCCGACAATGGGGTTTCGAGCTACAGAATCACTGAATTGATATATTTCACAGTGTGAAAACGTCAATGCTAAGAAAGTAGTCATTGGTAAACACGAGTGTGAAATGGATGTCGAAAAGTCTTCAATAATAAATCTTCCAAATTACTCCATCACTTGAGATGGAACACTTGAATTCAGACTGATATTTTTACATAAAGCTCGTTGGAAGATAGGTTTGAAAAGTTGGACTTGTCAGTCAAACGAGATCCTGTTTTCTGGAGCAATTTCGTGACAACACATTCAAAGACCATTATTTGTTGCATTATTTATTATATTATGAAAACAATTATTGGAAATAGAATAAGGTAACCCCGTACAGTCAACTTCAGAAATTCTTCTAAATAAATTAGGATTTGTAGAACCAGGTGTATTACAAATTATTTTTGATATATGAATGTGAAAATTGCATCCTATTTTAAATTTTTGGTCACATGATCGGCAACGAGGAGGTCTTATTAGGTAGTCTTTTGCCTATTGTGTTTGTAAATGTAATGTCAAAAACTTCCATTTAATAATTCTTTACTCGGTTTTTACAGTTAGACTTTTTTCTTTACCCTCGACTGCCTCCCCCTTCTCTTCTCTGATTGTACAGACACTTATTTGACAAATTTGTCTTTTTTTCTCTCAGAGAGAACTAAAGGCTCTCATTTAATATAGATCTAGGCAAACTAATGTTGATTTTTTCCTTGTTAGCATTTCCTTCCCCGATCCCAATGTGAACATCTGATACGACAAGGCATTCTGCAGCACTTGATTTAATACTTGGAGGTATGTGTAAAGGTCTTCCTTTAACTGCATTTAGACATTTGTTGACCATCTTTTATTCTTATACGGCAATTTCAATTGAATGGACAGCAAAGATTCAGAAACTCTGAATATAAATCATATTCTCCTGTACTCTTTCTTGACTTGTGACTTCCCTCGATAAAAGCCAGACCACCCAAAAGTCTTCAGAATATTGAATTAACATTCTGATATTTCTGTTTGCATGATATTTCTTAACCACAGAACAGAACATTTCTTAAGAAAGCTCCTTTTCTGTTAATTTTGTCTGCCAGATATTAGGGACTCGGTGTATATAAAGTCTGATTTTGCCTGAATTGCTTCACCAAGGCCATTTGAATGTATCTTTTTTTAGATCATGAATTACTCTCCATCTAACAACAATCAGCTTGCTACCAACTATTTATTCGAGGACTTTCTTACCAAAATGACAAGAAGATTTGCATTTAATTCAGCTTATTGCAAAAGGACAGTTCCAATAGACGACAGAACTTTGCTGCTACACCTACAATCTAAACTTGTATCTAATAAAGATCTTTATCAGTAGTTATTCATGTAAATCGAAATTTATCTTCTTCATATAGTTTCTAGAAAGACAAGTGATCACTTTCATTTACAAATACCCAATTTGTAATGTATCGAGTCTCACCTTTTTGAATTTTACTATTTGTCTAATATCGTTTTTCGTCAAGCCTAGTTGATTCCAGTATCTTGATAGCCATACTGCAACATGGTAGTAAAGTAAGCGCGTTTCACTTTGCAGCCTCTCTTCTGTGTCCAGTATAAAGTATCGTCTTCGCAGCGGTTTTGGTTCTGCAAATGTCATTGAAATAGCCTTGATTGCCTCTGAAAGAAAGTTACTGAAACTATATGTTTTATAACTTTCAAAGCTCAAAGGAGTTTGTGTTAAAATTATGAAATGGGATCTTCTTTTACGTACTGTCTGGCTATTATTTTTATTTCCTTGTTACCTCATGGGTCATACGTCGTTTGGAAGTGTTAAATGTAAAAAAATATTGATTTTACGTTTTCCACTTTTTTTTATAATTATTTGTCTCCACGAACTTTTGCTGTAAAATTGCTTTTGTTCAGATACTGCTGTAGATTAGGTTTTTTATAACAAAATTACACTACTTGGAAACTTACGTTGACTCAGCAAATAAAAATTCGATGAAATTTTGGTATAATTGTAATACCATGTACTGTAGTATATTTGTGCAATATTTACTAAATAGAGCCAACCTCTTTTGTAGCCAATCCTTTCAAGGCATCAAATAACAATCCGAAATCATGCTACTCAATACCTGAGTTTAAAATCTGGATTTTTTGACTTACCTTTGAGTTACTGAAATAGATTTGACTTACCGAAATTAAAAGGACATGTGCAGCTTTGAAAAGAGTAGCTATAAACTTAGCAGCTATTTCAACTATCTTGTTATTACTCAACTTTCCTTCTTTCAAGATCATCTTTCAATATATGTTTGATGGTACCTTTTGAAAATAGTTAACGTTTTCATTTTCAAAAGTAGAACGAGAAGCTTAGCAACAGTAGAGCTATTTTCAACCGAAAAACAAGGCAAGCCCTCTAACTTGTAAAACACTTTCACTTTTTTCTTGACGGTATCTTTGGAAAATTGTTTACATCGTCTCCCCCTGTACATGAAGTTTAGAGTTCTAGCCCCTTTGTCAACCATGTGACGACGTTGCAACTGTTCAAAAGGGTAGCAATTTACCCCTCTGGTTCAGTTGTGGGCGCCGTCGACCCAAGTGGTTGCTTCGTAACAAGAGTTTCCTGGGTTTACCATTATAAGTATTGATATGAATAAAAAAGATAACTAATTTTTTGCTTCTACTTCATTGTGACCCCCCCCCCCCCCCCAAACAAAAAGTTGTATCTCGGTCTTTGGTTGTATTGCTTTGAATTTCAACGTCAAAAGCTTATAATACATAAAGACTAGCACAAAATGTATGTAATACTACCTTTAATCTTCATAGATTCTGACCAATTGATTCTTGATCTGATATTGTCTGACGCCATCCCTGCGAAGTGTCCGAAGACGAATTCCCTCTTTGCCAGATGGTATCCACATGCTATAGCCTGCATGTAAGATCCATCGGCAAAAGTCCGTTTAAGTTTTATCAAGACTAACGATTTGCTGACTTTAAATTCAAATAACTTTTGTGCTATATGTGCGACGGGTATGCCCAGTATTTTGCGCAAAGTGGTATACTTTTTTCCAGCTTTGATAAGGGCCAACATGCAGAGATGTTGCAGTGTCGTAAATCTCTTTGCATTAGATTGACGTGCTGTCATGTTGCGTTGTTCTTCCAAGCTGGTCTCTGGTATGTATAAATTAAAATTCATCAGTTTGATAGGCAGTTCTTCTAATGTCGTATTATTTTGGTTGAAAGAAGAAGGAGATTGCTTTCAAACGGGGGTCGCTGTTGACCCTGAAACTTTAAATTTCGCACATTTGGTTTTCCATTTACTACGTTTATCGATAACACCAGCAGGGGCGGATACATAGCAAACTTAAAGGAGGGGCAGTTGGTAGTGGAGCGCTGAAAAATTTTCAAAAATTGACGACGAGAGAACGCTGTATACAACAATTTTCAGATCCATTTTCGGAATAAACAATATAACTTTGAAGTAATCCTTGAAGCAAATTAGCCTATCGGTCTCACAAACTTTTTCACCTGATTCTCATTCTTCAAAAGGGGCACACAATTTCCAAAAAGGGGCGCTATACTTGCTTCAACTCGTCGAGGGAGGGGCAACTGCCCCTAGTTGCCCCCCTTAAATCCGCCACTGAAGATCAGGGAGCTCTCCTAATAGATTGAAATCGATTCTTGTTATACAAATACAATTGTAGTAGGTGGAAATGGAGAAAGTATTTTGCATGTTACCAAGGCTGGGCTCTTTCAAACTGTCTTCTTTATCTCTTCTCTAACTACATCTCGTGCTGCTAGGAACATAATGCTCTCGTTTCATAAAGTATCCTTTAAAAATGTTCTGCTATTCGAATGACGTTTGACTTTCTCTGTGTGGAAATATGACTGTATTGCCAAAGCACGTAAAATAAGAATGTTGCAATTAACTTCTTCAGTCTGAAGATCTTCGGACCTGTTGCTGACGAGGAAATAACTTGACGTAAAAAGTGAAATCTTTCCATGTATGTTTTATTTCTAAAACTAAAATAGATTTATTAACCCTCAGCACCAGGAAATGATACTTAAAAACGTACCAACTGATATCTAACGTCAGATCAGAATGACACTATAGGTGTTTCAAAGATGGACTGGCTCTTTCTCAAAGTTGAATAAGCCTTCTCGCGTCTACTTCACCTATTTCCTTGTTTTAATCGTTAAATGTCCAAGCCAGCTAAACTATCTCCTTTCATTCCCTTCATTATTTCTTTTTTAAGTATCAAGCACTAAATGCTTTTCCATCTAATTTTTCGGCTTAAACTTTTTCCCTGTTTAAATTCTCTAGAAAATACTCTTTCTCTTCATTCTGTCCGAACAGTTTTTGCTCTCGCGCCATTTGTATAACCAAATTTTTGTTTTTGTCAGTGAAAGTGGCGATAAAAGAATTATAAGTGAAGAGAACCATTGCGCGCTGATGGCAGGAGCCTCCGGTCATGAATTCTCTAGTGCACTGATTTGTGGTAAAAACATGTCAGCTAACGACAAATCTTGGTAGCTTAACTTTTGATTGCAAAAGACGCTTTTTTTGCTAACTTTCCCAGCATTATTAAGGCAGGACTTTTAATCATTAATAAATTATCGACCACATCTTCTTTTTACTGCAGATATTCAACCTACATGCAGCTGCAATCTGATGTTTATGTCATCTTTTTAGACTGTATCCATGTTTTCTAATCCTGCGGTTCCTGATTTATCGATTATACGAAGCAGCTTGTCCACATAAGGCACCTCTTTCATTCGGAATTGATCAAAAAGCGAAATTGATGTTTAGTCCTTAGCGATTAAGTTATAAGTACATGACTTTATGAGATATGACAAATGTCAGCAAATGACGTTACACGAGCTTTATTCACTAAAAATTAAGAGCATGAACTTTCTTGGCAAATTTCAAGTTTCATCTCGGGGTTTCTCCTTAAAGTTTAATTTTAAAGGCTCATACTTCAAGATCAAAATTTTGCCAATTATTTACATGCATCTTTCATTAAAGATATTAAAATACTTTGTTTTCCTTGGTATAAAGTCTAAATAGCTTGCATTGAAGGCTATAGCCAAATGCATAACTTTAGCACGGTTATTCAAGTTAATAAAGAGTCGTCTTAAGAGCCCAATATTGCTTCATTAAGAAAAAGATAGATGACCCATCTTTATGAAGCGGCAGTTAGAATTCACAAGTAACACTCAAAGGTCTTAAATCGTACTACACTCTTTTTTTATAAGAACAAGTTTATAAGAACACGAGCCTCAAAACTTGTCAAAAGTTAAGAACAAATTAAGAACAAGCTGAGGCTGAGCTTCTTCAAAATGCAATTTTAAATCCTCGGTTTTTCTCAAAACCGAGGATTTTTAGCGACGTGTGGGTGCTTTTTCGATGAATATTAAAATGTGTCAGCAAATTAAGGCTGTCTCACTCAATTTGTTGGCAAATGAGGCCTGAACACCTCCTTAGCAATAGCACTGTTTACACCCTCTTAATTTAAGAACAAATTAAGAACAATCCAGCCTCAGATTTTTGAAAAAATTAAAAACAGTCAGCCTGAACTTAAATTTACTGGTTCTTATAAAAAAGAATGTAGTACAAGCCTTCAAGTCAGACAGAAGCACTGAGCGAGCATGTACTCAAATTTGCCTTTTTTTCAAAACGTAATTCAAAACTTTTGCAATCATTCATCTTCAAAGAAACCAGTGTCTTGATAATAGGAGAGGGTATACCCAAACCTACCCAAATCCGCCGAGACATCATTTTTGTGCTACAATGCTATTGGTTGACCTTGAACTGGTCACATCAACCCATTCCGTACTGATTTACAAAACAGCTTCCGTTAGGTCAAAAGCAAGTTGTCAGCAACCGATGTCAATATTTAGTATTGTTTCCTGTCACGTTCCTGTTGCGTTCTCTGTCACAAGTCACATGTTCTGTTAAGTCATGTTGTGAACGCTATCTATTGTGTAATTCCACAGTGCATTTTCTATTGTTTAGCTGTTTATTTGTTTTGGTATTTACGCTTATATTCTTATAATTAACTGTGTGCATTAATAAATAGCAAGAGATTTACTAATCATTTGAGCATAATTATACTAATCCTGTCTTTTCCTTGTTTCAATAATAATGCTTTGTGTGCAGGCTAAGTAATTTCGTAATTTTGGTGGTTTTGGTAGAAGAATCGGAAACCTCACTAAACTTGTATTTTTGAGATCTACTCTGCCAAAAGAACCAGCAAGAACATGAGAAGTTCTAATATGTATCTTAATGGCAATGTGTTTGTATGTCATAGTGTGATGTTCCTATTGCCCTGTTAATTGGCTTCCGTTTATTAAGCCTGATTTTTTTACCTGCGAATTTTTCTCTCGAATTCGAAGTTCAATTTACACTGGCAGAAATTTTTATGCGAATTCGCTGCGAGTATTACATAAGAATATAGCGACTGTCCGAAGAGTGCTCTTATGGGGGCCTATTATAGGTTTGCGGACTCACGGCTTGGACCCGGATTTAAACATGGTTTATCTACGGACTGCGGTTTCAACAAAAGTTGCGTCTTGTGTCTTTCGGTATAAATTCGCAACGGTTTATGGCTTTTATAATACGGTTGCGGCTTTTAAATGAAATAACGGTCCGCGGCAAGGCTTTTCACTTTACACCAAAGGTTTTGAAAAGAGCTCCATGTCGAATAGGAGTAACGTAAGAATGGACAAGCTACTGTCAGTCATTGCTGTCAGTTAGAACAAGAGTGGGAGAGGGAAGCAGGGCCGGCCAACAAACAAATAGGATCCCCAAGAAATATTCGGGAGTTTTATATGGTGTCATAGGGTTCTTTTACACTTAAAACAGTGTACTGGATGAGAAGGAATACAATGAGCAGCCCCCCAATATGAATTTTGTTCCGACGGCACTGAAGGAATCCTGATGTGGGTGTTGAAGCATGCGGTGGAGCCTCCGTTCCGCACGACCCATGAAACACCAGCTGCATAAGAAAAGAACAGCTTCAACAGGTTAGTGGACCTTGGACTTGCCTGGATTAGAAAGCTACAGTGCGTGTTGGGGAAATAACTGACACAAAGTGACGAACAAAGAGATTGGCAAAGGGAGGAGAAAAACGTCATTAGTATATATTTCCTTTACTGTGGGTTATACGATCATTTGGCAAGAGCATGGCGAAAAGCCGAAGAAGTGGGTGCGAACTTTTCGATAAGAGTTTTATCAACGAAGAGAGAAATGTATGCAAAGAAATATTCGAGTACATTACCCGACCAGCGTAATCTGGTGGATAGTATTTACTGTTTTGAAGCAATTGCTTGGTCTTCTCAGGAGTTAGTAGAAATATTGGCTTGCTTCCTTGGCTGAAACTTGGCGTGCGTGAAGACGCGCTTTGCGAAAGAGGGTCACAAAATAGTGAACAGGTAGACATTCTTTACACGACTCTACAGTATCTGCAGAAAACTTTATTCGTTACAAGGGTACTTGTTTGATCGGCGAGGGATTGTCGTCAAATATCCGTCTATTCGGTTCTACACGTGTGTCAAAAGCGATTGGAAACGGCAGAACTTTCAGAGGCAGAATTCATAATTCACACACTTACGTTCTAAAATTGATAACAATATATCAGGTGTTCTTCAAAGACCAATAAACAACGGTTAAAACAAAGTAACAAACGGATAAGAAACAAACTGAAAATACGTATCAATCTAGAATTTGCCAAACTTGGACAGCACTTTTAGCATTTTATCGATGCTGCATGTTTGCGTGTATCATTCTTTAAAAATAGAAGAGATAAGCAGTACATTGCCCCGTCTTAATAAACTGCAGGTAGGTAGTGTCTGCGAATGCCTAATTAAGAATTAGGGTGAGTGTTTGGATCAATAGGTGCATTGTTCGAAACTTAGATGGCTACCAGCCTAACGCCCAGGGGCGAGTACACAATACTTACCCGCCAGCCCAACACGCAAGGTACAATGGTCTCTAGTTTGTATTCGCTATGCATTAATCGCATAAAGCGCTCTCGTAACTGGGAACACTGCATTTTATCAACCCCCGTAAAAGCAATAAGGTTTGACTTGCTAACCATGGATATGCATAGAAACCCTGTAATAGTTATTGCAACACATTACAACATGTCCGATGGAGAGATAGCGACAGGTCTTAACTGCGGGTACCATGTATTTAAGCAACGGTTCCTTATTGGCTCCTTCGAGGCTTGCGTGTATTCTGAACCGCGTGACCATACACAATGGTTTTGCAGCCTCTCAATTCAGCAGGTTGTTGTTGGTGAGGTGGAGGGAAATTTGAGTAATGCTTTAGAAACAGCCAATGGAAAACTAGAAGAGAAAGGCATTAGGCTGTGTTTGCAGAGCATAAATGCATGGGTAGAGAAGCACAATGTCCCATTAAAAGGTCTTGTTTAGTAGACTTGTGCTTGCGCAAAAATAACCTGCTATTACCATTAATTGAAAATGTACATCTGTGTTAAGTTTTATCTTCAGTCTGGTGTTGTTAAGAGTCCAACCCATTAAGCCTTTAGTTCCCTTTTCCATTGGTCTAGGAAACGGTATTCTCTTCATTTTCGCCTAAAGACTCATTGCTAACAATGAGCCATTGCGATACGTAAGCATCCCATAATGCATTTTTAGACTGAAATCAATTTTGGTTAATCCGTAGAAAATTACTGCCATTGTTTGGACCGTCGCCACGCTCGCAAAGGTCCATTGTTAGCAATGAGTCTTTAAAGGAATCATGTCCCGACGCATTTCAATGGCCATTTAAAATCCCACTGGTTAGACTATACAATAGACCTTTGTTACGGAGCCAATCGGCTAATCTTCAAGGTGTTTAGAAGATGGTTCAAAGAGCCATCTCGTCATTTCTATTTCTCAAGTAGAAGATTAACCGATTGACATAGGCAGCAAACAGGGGAAGTGTAGGGGCAATTCTACCCCCAAAACCAAATATAATAGCCCCATTCCCCGTCCACAAATCCACTAGACGTGCTTACCCTGTCGTAGTTATAGTAAATGACACATTCTATATGAAAGTTTTGAGGTCAGTTAATCGAGCAGGTTCACAAAAAGCGCGTTTCAGGAAAGTTGCAAGAAAAATTTGGGAAAGCCCGCCTTAAACTCGTCCTTGGATCAACCTCCATCTAAATTCAAGAGGTTGATTCTTCATTGAAGAGATGTTTTTGGAACTTTTAATCCAGCAATTTAGATTTGACTGGCCCTTTAAAAGTTTTGACTTCAGGTTTCTTGATACGGCGAAACCTCCAGACAATGGGAACTGCCTACAACCGACAAACCAACGTTCACTGTAATGATACCTTGGAATCCGACTGAAACCTCTCTATAGTGATTTTGGCGTTTTGTATTGTCGCAGGTATCATTAAACTATGTACTCTAGCAGTTTGATTTTTAAGACAATAGAAGAAACGAAGCAGCTGATTCATAATAATTAATACTTACACATAAACGCTGTTTTTGTGACTGATAATTCTACCGAATATACCGTTAGTATCTCCAATTTGGGATAACAATAAAACAAGCAATAGCTATCTACTCTATTTCAACGCCTTGTACGAGCTCTCTAATTTTTAGCTTACCCAATACTAAGTCCCTAGCACTTGACTTAGTCACATGCTCTTTACAAAAAAAACCTACTGCAAGTGCAGCCAAGTTGAAAAGAATCCTTGCGCTTGTAACCTCACCCTAGATTGATAGGGTCAAGTGAGCCGAAGAGACAGACAAAAAATTCAGGCCAACCTCGGTCCAAGAGCACAGAGTGGATTGGCAGTTGTTCGCCTCCCAATAAACAACAAATGCAAAATAAAGGACCAGGTCTATGGCTATATAAATAAACTTTCCTTTTTCATTTTACTGATTCCTTTCGATCACCAATAGGGAGACCAACACCCCCATATATTAGACACAGGTGCACAGAATCAGATTTTGTTCAGGGGCAGCAAGTAGTCCATAACTTAAGCAATTAAAAATCCAACAATTTTCGTAATTTTTAGTGAAATATATTATTCTGATTGCGTCTACTTCTATTAAGGGATGCTAGCGCGAAATGAATTTGAAAGTGGATGGGCCCAGTGGCGAAGCTGGACTCCCATGGGTGGTCGTGCCCATTGGCCACTGCGCAACAGAAATGCGCATCCACAATATTATAAAAAAAATATTTCAGTGATCTAAGGAGCTAATATAGCAATTGTATGGCACTGCATTACTTTTCTGACAAGATAGAAACAAACTAAAATTAAAAGTATAAAAGCTGCTTTTGTGTCTCCCCTGCCTCTGGCTGATACTCAAAATTCGTTTTCTTCCCAAAATGTGATGGAGGTTCCTGGCAACTTTTTTTTATTTTTGGTATTATTTACTCAAATATCAGTTCACAGGATAATAAAGCTTGAACAACAAACTTTTCTAAAATTTTATCAAATTATTGCAACAATGGGACCAAAATATACACCTGTGGACTCAGATTTCAAATGTATAATAATTGCAAGCACTATTTGTTTTGCACACATAAAATTTAGAATTTCATTCAAAAAAGAGGGAAAAGTTTGGCTTTAAAGGCAAACTTGACTGTGAAGTGCAAGACATGTTTCAAGAATTAGATGACAAATGAAACAGATGAAACAGAAATATTAGAATATCTGCTGAAGACGGTACTGTCATGCGGCATTATTGATCTAGCCACAGTTAAAAAGCACTAAATAGTGATTGGTAAAATGAAGGCAATCTTTCTTTAAAATCCTTTTTTCATCAGGTTTGTTGCATAAAGATTTGTAGGTAGCCACTTTGTTAAGCTGAACCAAACCACTCACAGAGATTCACCAATCAATTAGATACTTAATTTAAGGTTATGCCTTAAATGATAATGATAAACTACACCATGCATGACAATATTTGAAAGTTGCATAAGATGAAATAACCATTATAAGGTTTGAATAAAATTCCAATTGAAAAGCAGCATTAAATTAATCATTGAAAAACAGATCATGACAATTTATGAATAAACAGGGCAGCATACACAAATGAAGAATGTTCAATAAATCTCTTCAGTGTCCAGCTAGGTGGAAATACTGAGATCAGATGACTGGGGTCACAAATTTAATACAGAATAATCATGAGCCTGAGAGTTATTTGCAGACAACAGTGTTTCTTGAGCAAAAAATTAAGGGGGGTATGTGTAATAGCTTAAAGATTATTTCACCCTGCTTATTTAAGACAAACTGACTAATTCATGGAGAAAGTTACCTATATTAAGGAAAATATATGCACACCCAAGGAAACTGCACACAACCAAATTACATGGAAAGCAAGGGAAAAAATCAGAAAATCACTAGGCTGAGCTTGAAAACATATCATCAGAAACATAAACAAAACCATCAACAGGTTGATCAATGCTATTTCATTTTTCCCTTTCACGTGTTTTAAGGAGGGTAAAACTCCAGTAGAGCTAATTTGCAAAGAGGTTTTCTACTATAAATACTTTCAAAATTCAGAACTTTCTACTGGGAAGATTCTAGTCCAAAAATACATCAAACACCTCATAACTAATGTAAAATGAATAGATATTTATGTACATTTTGCCCCAAATGTTCATAATACTTTCGTCTTGAACACCTAAGTATACTGTTGTCAAAATAAATATTGATTATTTTATTGATTGATTGATTCAGTTTATCCCGTTCAGTGTGCGTCTCTCTGATACAAATCCGAACGAAAAACTGCCATATTTTCCATTCTGATCACGTTAAAAACATCCAGATGATATTCAAATTATTGTCCATTTTTTAGATAAGATAGCATCTTGCACATTTGAAGATCTTGATTCTGTTTAGGTGAATGAGAACTTGTTCGCCTACCAAAGAGATCCATTGGATTGATTCCGTATAGGCTGAGTCAAAATAACTATGAAACAATCCCTCCACAGTCGTTAACCAGTTTCCTGATAAATTACAACGGTTTATTGGACTGGAACATTTACATGCACCATTCAAATCACCCTGATATCACACCAACATCCACAAACGCCTGCAGTATTGACAAGTAGGCCCCAATGATACAGGGTGCAGATAGTCTTGCCGTCAGAAACGGGCACGACCTCGTGATTGATTTCCTCCAGCTTCAGCCAATCAAATGCTGGAAATCGTACCTCAACTATTATTATTATTATGACGAGGTCGTGCTCATTTCTGAGGGCACGACTAGCATTGTTTTTCTCTATTGTTGGGCACGACCAAACATAGGCTGTCCAATTGAAGCTTCTATTGTTGGGCACGACCAAATCACAAGGTACCAGATTTTGGAGTGGTTTTGATGATGGCCTGGACGAGAATGCTTTAACAGATGAACAATGTAAAAGACGTAGCTAGAAGTGGTAACTTCCATTGCATCAATACGTAAGGCTTGAATTGTCTGTCGTCTTTGACCACTCAGCAAGCATAGGAGAAAAGTTAACCGAAGAGTAAGGTCTTTAAGAGTCAGTTGTTCCACGCACGGACAAGAGCGAATGAAATCAAACACAGTATGGACACTCCAAACAGAGTTATACTTCGGAAATGTGGGGCGCAATTGGAAGACACCTCGCATAAAACGTCTGACAATCGGGAGGTTTCCAAAAGATATTTCATCATTACTAGAGTTTAATATGGAACTTAGTGCACTACGAGCGGTGTTGATACAGCTATACGAGAGGCCGGATTCAAAAAGCGAGGTTAGAAAGAGCACAGCATTATGTACATTTGGTTGAACTGGATTGCAGCCATGTCGAGTACAAAAGTCAACCCAGCGTTTTATATGAGTAGCATATTGTTTTTGAGTTGAATCTCGCCACGAAGCCATAATGATATCTACAGAGGGGGTCGTGAAACCCTGCAATGAGAGGGCTTCCCGGATACTAAACAAACCATTAACTGCAGTTTGTGGAGAAGTGGATGTTGTAATTGAGGCATTGTTGGTAACCGCAACAGGTTTTTTCTTGGTCTTAGATGGACAGGTGGGGCACACAGCATCTTTTTGAGAATGGGAAACCACGGTTGAGTAGGCCAGTTTGGGGTTACAAGAATTCCGGTTGCTTGATCTTGTTGAATTTTTTGTAGGGCAAGGAGAATGCAGCTAAATGGAGGGAAGGAATAAAACTTTAGATTGCTCCAAGGGAAGGTAAAAGCATTTATTACCTCAGCACCGGGGTCGGGCCTAAGTGAGCAGTATTTATCAAACTGACTATTAAGCCTTGAGGCAAAAAGATCAATGTCCGGTTTAAATTGCAAGCTAGATAATGCATTCTGTAAAACATTTGAGTTCAACATCCATTCTGCATCTTGTTTAAGAAAGTTTCTTGATTCCTTATCAGCAATAATGTTAGATTTGCCTGGAATGTGACATGCTGTCAACCAAAGATTGTTTTCATAACAAAAGGACCAAATTTTGACTGCAACAGAGTTACATTCTTTGCTATGATTAGTGCCCATATGATTGATAACAGCGACAGCAGTGGTATTGTCGATCATTAGCTTAACATGTTTGTTTTTAATTGCAGATTTGAAACTTTTTAGGGCGAAGTATGCAGCTAAAAGCTCCCGAACGTTAATATGGTAAATGATTTCAGAGGGGAGCCATGTTCCATTTGTAGGAACACCGTTAAACGTCGCTCCCCAACCCAGGGGGGAAGCATCTGAGAAAATGGTAGCTTGAACAGGTGGAAGTCTAATATAACCGAAGCTACTATCTAGGTTTTTAACCCACCAGTAAAGTTCAGCAAGAGCAAGTTTGGTTATGGACATAGTTGTATCAAAATTCCCATTGGAAGATTTTAAGGCCTTAATTTTTTCATCTTCAAGGTGTCTGTAATGAATGCCTCCAAACGGAACAGCGGGGAGGCACGATACCATATAACCCACAGCTTTAGCGACGTCCCTGATAAGCACGTTATTTGGCTTAATACACAGTAACTCCAGGTACCCCTTGACCTTGTGTTTACGAGCATTTGGTAATGTGACTGTCATAGATACAGAATCCAGTATAAAACCCAGATATTGTATTTTTTGTTTGGGGATGAATTCAGATTTGTCCGGGTGGACAACAAACCCAAGATTGTTGAATTGTTGGAAGGTAGACAGAATGGAATTTACACAGCTACCGTATGAGTTGCTTTGAATATATATATCGTCGATATAGTTAGAAACAATGTGCCCCTGTGACCTTAATGTAGCAATAGGGGGTTTTAGTAATTTTGTGAACTGCCTGGGGCAGGAGGAAAGCCCATTTGGGTAAGCAGTATACGCATATAGCTGATTCTGAAAGGTAAACTTCAAAAATTTCTGGTAACCAGGATGAATCTTCACACTATAATATGCATCTTTCAGGTCAATAGATGCCATCCAGCAACTAGGCGTAATCATGGTCAAGACATGTTGGATAGTCTCCATTTTAAAGTGTTTATAGGAGACAAATGAGTTAAGT